GAATGTAAAAAAAACCCCTTTCATGGTGAAAGCTTTCATTCGCGTTCCAGCCATCCTACGTTGGTATACACTGGCTGAACGATGATAAACAAAAGAGCCAGAACAGGGGAAGTAAGATTTCGTGTGATTTTGACACACACACACACACCAAATACTGCCAGCTTGGCACACAGACACGTCCTACACAACAGTGATGATCGATCCTGTCAAAAAGGGGACAACAAAGCTGTGCCATCATTGACCAGGACATTCTTGCACAGTAAGCCTCGTCACAACGAGGATTCTGCACCAGTGCGCTACCACCGTAAACGCCACACGCGGATCTGCATACACACGCCCCTTGCGCCTCACGCACTGGGATTCATGCTAACTTGCCAATTACAGCAGGTAGTAGGCATTCGGATAAACTTAGATTCACTTTATCCATCTTTCGCTGGTGGTGGGTCACAACTCCACCCAAGTCAAGTCTGGCGATCGATGTATCACCCAGGGCAGCATCACTTACACCTCCTTCCGTCCGTTTGACCCATTCTTCCACTGAGCCCGCCTACCTTATTTCAGCGGTTTTGATGATGCCATGAGCGACGCCGGTGGCTGCCGACGGACGTGCCCCTCAACCGACTCATAAATGCCAACGACTGCAAGCGCTTTAGGACATTCTTAACTCTAATCGTCTAGTAAGCAATACGACAGCAGATGTCACACGCACGCGATCAGAGCCACACAAGCAGCAGCTGTACCAATAATAGGCACTTCGACAACTACATATCTACGACCAACCTTAAAAACTAGAGGTGATATCGGAGAATATAGCACATTCAATCACACGTCGGTTAATAAAGCAAGGCAGAATGGACAGCGGCCTCCCACAGGGCACAAAGCACCTTTTGAAGAGAACAGCAGCAAAACACTAACGAAGTGATTTAAGGTCAATGCTACGCCATATATTTAAAACAAAAAAAGTTGGCCGTTAAATCAGGTTACGTGATTTGTGCTGGGTTTCAGCGCACCAAGAGGTGCGGACAGACTGAATGAGGATCCAACCATGCAACCCACGGCATCACATGAGGAAGCTCACGAGCACAGAGGGCGACAATGGAACCGCCACCGCTTCCACCCGAGCAAGACCCAATCCAGAAATTATTCAAGCCTCTTTACATCGATTAGGAAAGGAGAACCACACTAACTCTAAGACAACCGAGAGGCCATAAAGTCGGAAGACCAAGATTTTCGGGACCAAGCTATCCAAACTGCAACATGGGTATCTTAACCAAGAGAATAGAGGAACACTTCAACAACCTCTTCCAAAGCCACTAAAGGACTAATTACGCCAAAGGGGAAAAAATTAGCCAACCAAAGAAGCAAAACACACCACATTTGAACAAGAAAGGCTGAAACCAGAAGGAGCAATAACAACAAACTGTGAAACTAACATAAGTAATCCTCCTCTCAACAACTACACACAGCCCACATTAATACAAACTAGAGCCCCAAAGTTATCAATAAAAAGTACCAGTTTACGTACGAATATATCTAACAGACGTTTATTTGTTGGTATTAATTCGACACTCGACAACTTTCTCCTGGCCCATGGCTGAAATATAGGTCACCTGGAAGAAACGTTACAAAAGAAAACCCCAGCTTACCAAAAGATCCTCATTATCCCCAAGATTCTCAAACTTCTCCTTCAGAGTATCTAACATATCGCTTCCGTGAATATCAGAGCGAGTGGTATTGTCAGCCATCAGAAGTTCGAGAAATCCATCCTGATCAATGGAGACCAGCTGGCACTCAGTTCTGGTGACAGTGGGAGAGATCACAGTATGACCAGAAGGACGGCATTCCTCCAGGCGCTTGCCGGAAAAAATATCAATGCCGACAAAGTTGATCTTCGCAGACCCGTGCTTGCCCGTTTTTGAGGCCGACACCTCGACAATTTTGCATGGCTTTTCTTTTATGATGACGTAAGAATTTTTCTTTATAGCACCACACTGAATGGGAGTCCCCATAGAGGCCCCCGCATCCCCCACGCTAAACTCCTCATCACCCATGTTTTGTCGACTGTCGAATTCAAAAGTGTAATGGGGGCCTAGTTAAAGTCACCAAACTAAAAAGATATAAACAAATCCGCGTGTGAGCGAATTTGCCTTTATTCAATGAACTCTACAAGAAACCTGAAAATAGCATTTGCTCTCAAAACTAGCCATTTTATTCAAAATTTGCTAACTCGACATAGGACTGTAATTCCAAATAATGTCATGGCACAAGGACCCTGGCCATTAAACAATCAAAAATAAACGAATAAACAAAATCAAAAGCTGCGACATGTAGACTTTCTTCAAAAGCATGTCAATAACAAATTAGACTGCAAAGGATATTGTTGATATCTGACAAAAGCAACACATATACGCACTTCGAATAAATTTAAGCTTGTGCATCTGTTCCTCATTTTAGATACCTTAAACTTTTCAAAAAGAGGCGTTTTATTTATTTTGTTTTCAGTTAAATTGACGGGCATTTATCACATTTCCCTCTTGCATTTTTCACTTAATTCAAAGGGACGAAATAGTTATACGTATATGATGATTAGATGCATTTTTGAGTAAACCTAAATCCCGAGAAGGCACTTAACAGTGGGTATTTAGTTTAAGTAAAACTGTTTAAGTTGGAGTGCTTAAAACAATGTTAAGGATTGCTAAAATTGCGGGATATCAATTAATGCGCTGTTTCAGAAAGATAGCGCAAAGGTCTAACTGCTCTAGCAAGCCTAAAAATGATTGCAATAAATTATTGTTTAAAAAATAGGACGTATTTTTTTGGTCTTTGACAAATTTTTTTTGACTGATATATGATGTCCACGACCTTGGTTAGTTTTAACTTTCAATTTTTGTGAAAATTGGGGTTGGTATTTTTATGAAAAGCAGGTAAGGACAGATTTCCTTTTTTTGACACAAGGGCATCTTTAATCTTAAATAAAAACTGAACGAATTCTTAGTCCTTTGTATTATTAGGCTTTGTTGATGCACTTTCAGGTATTAGGTCTTAGATTCACCGCTTTCATTTGACTCTTGAATACTGAGTCACAGTAATTTTTACTACTCCTAACACCCTTTTTTAGTTTTTGATTTTTTGCTAGAAATGACTGATAATCAAGACAACTACACCTTGAAAGAGTACCACGAGAGATTGAAGAGCATATTCAAAAGACTTAATAGGTAAGCTATGGGTCTTCTTTTCTGTGTCATCTCTAAACACCAAACTTTTAATTTCTTGGGTAATTTCGAGAAATCGCCTAAATTTTGCTTTCAAGTCTTGCCTTTGCTACAGGTGATTTTCTAATATACAGGTTCTACCATAGATTTAATCGTTTACAAAATTTTACATCCCCTTCTTTTTGACTGTAATTATGTAAGTTGGGCAAAAAATAACAAAAGCTATCACAATATTGCAATTTTCTGTGCGTTTGAAGGCAATATGAAACGGTTGTAGTAAGAGCAAGTACAAAGAAAAAGGCTCACGCCGAAGCTTCGGAGAAGATGAATACTGAATGGAAGACGCATCCTCCTCGGGTTACCAAAGTCCCTGATAGACGTTCTAAATCTTTTTCTACTTCTACTTCCTCCTCTAATTTGTCTTTTTCTTCCACCTCCTCTTCGACATCATCATCCTCTTCTTTCTCGCATAAGCCCTCCCGTAAAATTCAGCTTGGGCAAGCAGATTTTGCAAAGAAAAGCACGCCTTCCATGAAAAAGCAATCAACAAAGCCCGAAGTTAAGAAAACCAGAGAAACAAATCCAAAGGCAAAAGCGTCCCGGCCTCCAGCTAGACATGATATAAATAAGACGCCTCCTAATTGCAAGACGACCTTTATTGCTGCAAAAGCTACGGGAAGGAGATCATATTCAAGACACAAGTGACAATGTTAGACGTATAAATTGTGCACATTGTCTTTGTCTCCTGTATGGCCCAAATTTTGTCTTTCCAAGATTGTATTAAAGCATGAAATAAATCTCAGTATTTTTATCATTGATGTCGCAATATATCAACACACTTTGAACGCATTCAATCGCTTAGCCCTTACCGCCTTGTTTTAACTTATGCAGGTACTTGTTTTTAATTATTGACAGACACAAGATTAAAAAGAAGAATTACTCAAACACGTGACTTATAATTCATGGCGTTAAGTACACTAATGAATTATAAATAATCCTTTGAGGCAGTTCGGAAACTTTCCCTGGTTGTCCCACAAACAGGTGGATTTCATTGAGCTTGAAAAGCGCCTAATTGTGCTTCTCTATGTGCCTTTCAAGCGCTTGTTATCTCTCTGTGCTTACCTTCTTCTTCTTTCCTTGCCTAAAGGTTCACCTTGGAGATTGACTGCGCCGTTTTTTGTTGTCTGGACTTTCAGCACTACTTAAATGTTTAGGTGTGCCTTTTTAGAAAAGTTGATTTGATCGCCGAAATGAACAAAAATCCCATGGCGAGGCCAAAGGTGTGGTCTAAGTTGGTGGTCGAATCAGAGAGCTCAGAAAGTTCCAGCAGTGAGGAGGAGACTTCAAGCAGTGACACCTTCGAATCAGAAACTTCGTCAGACTCAGAGTCAACTTCATCCTCCTATTCGTCATCATCATCATACGACTCTGATTCCACTTCCTCTTTAGGCAGCGATGAAGACAGTAGTGATGATTACGATTTCGACGACGCTACCTCCTCTGAATCATCTTCAGAAGAGAAGGAAGTGAAGACCCATAGAAGGGCAAAGACAAAGACTTCAAAATGAATAAGTAGTTATAAAGCAATGAGAAAAAGAATGCCAAAACTTAAAGACCACCCTGTTTTCATGTACATTTCATGTTAATTTACCCTCCTGAGAAAGTATAATCTTTTATAAATGTGTTCCTTTTAGCTCTATTAATTACCATCCTTGCCTTCTACTAGCAAGATACGAGTCTGAATTAGGAATAAAATTCCAAAAATGTACGATTAGAGTAACAAACAGTCACATTGTTGCAATTTACCCATGTGAGTAGACGAGCAAGAGCCTGCGTAGCGCACACCATGCACGCATACGCAAACTAATTCATTCACAGAGTAGACTTAAGAGGTTTAATTTGCATTAAAACATGCCTCAAAAGAGTGTAATGGAAAAGGCACTGGCATAATTTTGCTAATCCTACCTAACAGAACTTTTTGGAGAGGTAGGGGCAAGCGAAGCAATGGACATGTTGCTCGTGTGGGACAGACGAATTTCTGGCAGTTTTTGAATTACTTCTAGACAGAGTAAAAATGGAAAGAGAGATTTGGCTTAAGAAAGCAGTAATTTGTCGTGAGACATTATTTCATCAATGCTGGCGGTTTGGAGAACCGAGGAATAAATTATTAGGCTGGCAGTGATTAGAGCCAGAAATGAACGAATTGGTAGAAAATCGTGTTCCCACAGATGATTCTATCGTGATTAAAAGTGGATCAAATGAGAGATAGACTTGAAGTGAGATCAAGGTGAAGAAGATGGTTAAACGGGAGGTGGCTGTAGTGTAATTTGCAACTTTACATTAACTGAATCGGCTAAACAACTCTTAGACTTATAAATGACTGGCGAAATGGATGGATGGATAGAAGGGTGGACAAAGGATAAAGGAATTAAGTTCATGAACGGGCGATTGGAATCCAGACAGATGGAGGGGTTGATAGACTGACTCGCTGGGGAACGATTAGTCGGGGACCAGAAATGACGTGGTTGAATGGATGAATGGATAAGAGATTCTTTTAAAGACAGATGGGTAAAAAAGTTGGTCCCCAATTGCCTGAGGGACGGATAAGTTTGGCTCATATGGATGGCTCAGGGATGCACAGAGTCGGAACGATTCGTGGGATGGACATATTTTAAATAAACAAATGAAGTAATTGATGATGGAAAGATGGCTCCAGGGTGGATCAATGAAGGTGGAAGAATAACTTCAAAGTAATGTGAGAATACAACCTAGACTGACTACTGCCAGCAAAATAATCCTTTTGAGGCTGCCATTCAAATGCCTAGTAAACAATGCTCCAAAACTCATTTTTTATTACCTAAAAATGAACTGACAGCCACATCAACCGCTACCAAACCAATTATTCAATTGATATCATCTCCTCGCGGATCGTGCCTAAAGAAGTACTCGTGATGCCGATACGAGCAGTCAAGCGCATTTGTTTCACATCTGACATGTCACCTCGAAATCACCAGAAAGCAGGTTTACAAGTGGACCATTATCTTCACTTCTACATTATGCCAAACGGAAGGAGGTCTACAGAAGACCTTTACGAAAATTGATTTTGAAAGGGGTTCACAGAAGCTGCAGCCTTAATAATTCGGGGTTTTTTGTAATTTTGTGGACAATTAATGGATGAGGTGGAAAAAAGATTTGTGACTTGTAGCTGTGGTTGCCTCAAAAGTTGCATGCGATGGTCAAGCTGCCGAGGCCCTAGCATTCTCACCTTTTTGAAGGGTAAAAAATGGAGGGATGGTGGAAGTGGAAGGATATGGAGATAAACAGTTTGCGTTTACGAAAATGAAAAAAATCCTTATTTGCTTTGCTAACACAGTTGTTTGTTTTAAATGCCAACCCCAGACGCGAGCGCGCTTCAAATGTGGTGCTGTCTTCCTATTCCCCACTAAGCCTTCCATCTATCTGCCGTGCTAGCTCCTCTTGTAGAGTAAAAATAGTTGTTTTTTCCCCAAAAAAGATATGAATAATTTATAAGTTACAGCATCATCTAGTGCCTTCGGGTCGTATTTTGAACTAGAATGGGTGAATGGCGAATGGCTAAGTCTCTATGGTTTCCATGAATGGGGGAAGGGAATTACGACGCATCCACTCCACTTTTCCCATTTATTTACCCACAATTTTTTCTTGACATTGTCATTTAATTAAAAAAGCAGACCGTCTTTTTCAGGAAAACCTCGGAATTTGCGAGTCCTTTTGAGTTGTAGGTAAAAAATAACTATTCGTTTTCCTTCCTTCGTCATGGCTTTAAGGTCGTCTTACCTTAAGTGTGCCCTGTGAATTTCTTTGATAGAAGGTTACCATGAAATGATTTACAGTTGATTTTAAAAATGACTCTTCACTAAACTCATTCGTCATCTGATTTGCCTTGATTTTACCACCTAAATCCACCCGTCACACAGACGTCACACATTAGGTGAATGGCAGCCAAGAATCTAAAATGCAATAGCAAAGTGGCCTTTTTTGAGACAAACTTTGGTTGCGAATATGTTCTTTAGGTAATTTTACACCCAACTGCTGCTAACACTTGGGAAAAAAACACTTTATGACCTCTACACGGCAAGCAAATAATGGACCTCCAGCGGTGCGTGAAAGTATATGCATGTAAACAATCTATGGATTAATGAATGGGAGCACTTTCCACTTCACTGTAACATTCTCAAGTCATGCCTGAGGATGTAGAGGTATACCGACTATGGGAGGGAGAGAGAGTCTATAGACACGGTCGACGGTGTTATGAGTCCACGTAATTAACTGCACAAGCAGACAGGTGCTATTTTATTGTGTAATTTCCTTTCTTCTTTTGGAAGACATTTTCAACATGTCCACCTTCATTTGTCACAGAACACCCCATTATTTGTGATTAAATGAAGGATGAGGGAAATACTACTCATATCGTTAGTAGTATCCAGTAGGATTAAATTTGAATTATTGAGTATCGCTTTCTTTGCAAGGCGAAATGAATTCAACACAGCTAATATGAATTACATTTCCGAATATAAAACTTTCATATGGCGGAGGAGGGGGGGAGATGCTGAGAGGATATGTGATGAAACCTAACAGAAGGTTTGCTAAAGACGTCTACATTCGGCAACTGCCCCAGTCCCATGGTCTGCAGGAATGCTACTAACGACTGAAGCGACACTAGACGTGCACCATCTAAAAATGTTTGCGATAGAGCTGTCTACGGTAACTGTGTAACGATGTCAATTAAGTGAACACGCAATACTTCCTCTACCTCTTTTCCATTTAAGTACAAACAGCATGGTAAGGATAAATAGATGAGAAACCTAACTCCCATTGGACTATTTTAAACCCCATCTTTGATTAAATGACCTTGCTTTTGGGCCATTGTTCGCATGCCTAGCGATGGACACACGTGATGGTCAGCACATTCCTATCCATCCACAACAGTCCTTAAACAGGACGAAATTCCAGATCCTGTAGAATTGTTAAGAGGGATTAGTGATATTGCAGAGAGACATCTTCTTAGTTGCAGGCAGATTCAATGACTGGAGGGGTCAGTTCCTTGGTGCCTTTCTTACAGTACCGACTACGTTGTGATGCATAACGCGGTAGGTTGACCGAGGAGAGCGTTGGAGCCGACGTTTAAAAGAAGCGGGGTAGTGTTTTACCTTGACAGCTTGTTTGATTTTTCCTTTTTGGTGTTGCGGCCATCAAAGGCTCCGCTTCCTTATTTTCGTTGGGCGGCTTGACATTCGGGCCACACTAGCATTCCTCCGGCCCTTCTTTACGTCAACAATGCACATTCTGCCCCAGCAGAACGTCCTCTTTAGTCTTCAGGGAAGTCTCGAGGTCCTACAAATTTTATTTATGCCAAAATACAAGTTGCACATGCTTTTGTCTCTCCTTATCAGAAGTTCGAAGCAGAGAGCCACTTGAAGATGGAACCACTATTCTCGGTAATACATTAACCAAAGGAAGCTTTTAACCGAGCTATTTATTTCTGGCAATATAAGGAGTAGAGTTGTAAAAAAGTTTGTTGGCAAAGATTCATCAAAATCTACCCTTTCTTTACTTGTGTCCACCAGAACCAATATGTTTCCATGCCACCATGAATGAACAAATAAACTCGACTGAGATCTTATTCGAGATCACCGAATTTCTACCTTTCCCGTTTCAAAATATTTAACATTACTAATAGTCGACTTGAGACTAATTTAGAGCTTAAATAGATGCTTGACTTGAAGTAGAAATGTGTAACTATCTGATTTATCTTTCCTAGCTAGGAGGTAAACTAATGTGATTGGTAGGAGGCCACCAAGATAGAGTTCAAATGCCAGCTTCGAGTTTGTCATTCCGCCATTTCTCACCCCGCATTCTTTGCTATTCTTAGAGACAGCCAATCACCCATCTCTGCTGTACGAGCGTTTATAAATCATGAGCGCTTAAAATCACAAGTGTTTTGACTCAGTGAATTCGATGTTCAAGCGGTTTTTACAGCATGATTTGGCACTTTGATGTGTCAATGAGGATGCAAAAAATGTTACATAGGAAGTGTAAGAATGCTTTAAGTTTGTTGTAACTCGATTAGCAAAGCGGCATTTAGTCTTCATCGTGTGTCGTTGCTCTCGTGTTTGAAATATGCTAAAAGAAAAAGCGGCAATCCGATTGGTCGATAGTTCGGGCTTAATCTTATTGGCTAATAATTATTAAATGGCAGTACTCTCAATTCATATCTCTCGTGTTTTAACTATCTAAATATTACCTTTAAAAGGAGAGTATCGTCAACCTTACTCCATACATAAATCAAACACAACGAAATTAACTTCACATCGGTGGGTGACTTTAATAAAGACTTATAATAATGGAAGCGGTTATGCGAAATGTTGAAAACCCGTTTCAAAGCGCGGTTTCGGCTTAAAACTATTTTACAACCATTTTAAACAATCAAAACTGCTAAATAGCTTTACCATTCCTATTATTCATAGTTAATTCCCTCGTAAATACCGACAATAAAAGGCCGAATATTTGGACCAGAAGTGTTAGTTGTCAATGGAAATAAAAATGTCTAATTCGCAAGCAGCATGGCCGATCGAGACAGCTGACTGTATAAGAGATTTCAAAAGTGTGTTAAAATGTTTTTTGAAGGAGAAACCGACTTTTTTGCAAGTGACTTCAACAAGAACACATGTGTTTCGTTCACGTCTTCCAGTTTAGTTGCCCACACCCTGCATCACAAAGCCTATCATGGCAAAAACCAGGTAAAACTGACTTCTGTCTACCTTCACTCCCTTAATATCAGATATTTTTTACTACTGCTAGGTTCATTCCACTCGACACAGTCAATGAACAAGGTGTGGAGTGTTGCACACTCAATGTATCATACCTCTCCCATTCTTTTTGATCTCTGAAGTGTCGGGTTCTCAAAATAGGTAACACCCATATCCACCCCTTAGAAAGTGCTAAAATTAATGTTTCATCATCTTTTACCCTTAATCGTCCTGTGTGGAAGATCTTTGGGGAAGGAGCAGAAATGGGTCACTGATCTTGATCGCAAAGTCACCAATCTCATCCATTTACTTAAAACCATGAAAATAGGGGATTTGAGGCGGAAGTACGATGCATAATACTGAATTTTGCCATAACTATTAGCCACTGTTGAAAGAGCTGAGTAATTTATAAATAATTAGCCAATCAATTTTTAGAATTAATCAACAACTCCCTTTGTCCTGACCAATAGGAGAAGTGCGTGGCCTTCATTTCTCATTTTCATAATCAACAAGTTGTCAGTTTTTAAACAATTTCCACCCCAACTTAGACTTCATTGTTCTCCGTAAATTAAAAAAAAGTTTCAGCCAAGTTACAAAAAGAATTTTAAAGTAAAACTTTTGGCATTACATATCCAGGTAAACCGAAAAACCGGATATCAATCGTAAGTCAACTTTCAAAGGAAAATGAATTTTTACTTATGAATCAAATAGTAGATACAAAAGCATGGCGTCAAGTCCGCATGAAGCGTAGGCAACAGCTTTTTAAGGTATCATTTTTAGTCCACGTATATTGGGTGATTAGGTGGCGGAAATTTACTACCACAACTCCTAGATTTAGTGATCCACTAGTATCCCGTGGAATTCAGCTGTCGTCTCGCATGCCCACTGTACCGTAAAGTAGCATGTATTTATATTTCACCAACTTTTTCCTTATACGCACTGCATGGAAAATCTGTGGGGAAGGAGCAGAAATGTGTCACCGATCTGGACTTTAAAGCCACATACCTCGTTCATTCAAATGAGAAATAAACAAACCTATGAAGGCGACTAAAAAAATTCATCGATTTAGGAAAATTATGCGATAGTGCACACTGATATGTTTCACGATGGCCATTAGTCACTGTCAGATGAGCCATGCTGTTCGTGTATTAACAACCAATCAGTTTCCAGAACCAATCATCAACTTCCCTAGTCTTGGCCAATAGGAATAGTGGATGGCCATCATCGCCTCTCATTTCTATAACTAATAAATTTTGCAATTTCTTAAAGACCTCCTCAAATCCCCTATTTTCATGGTTTTAAGTAAATGGATGAGATTGGTGACTTTGCGATCAAGATCAGTGACGCATTTCTGCTCCTTCCCCAAAGATCTTCCACACAGGACGATTAAGGGTAAAAGATGATGAAACATTAATTTTAGCACTCTCTAAGGGTCATAAATAGCAGTTAAAACTGGGTTATAATAGGATAATATCAGATTTCCCATGTCTAATCCGGCCAAAAGTGTGATTAAGTCTTAAGTCAGTTCGCAAAGGAATCAAATTTTTAATTGTGTCGGATAGTAGATACAAGATTGTTAAGTTAGCATAAAACGCAGTCTACAGTCTTTAAAGGCATCATTTTCGGCACTAGTAGGTTGACAGTTCGGGTCTCAGGAACTTAAAGTCACAGCTTGTAGATCTAAAAGTCCATTAGGAGACCGTGGATCCCAACTGCCATGTGCATACCAGCCGGAGAGGAATAAAGGAATCTATTTTACAAGTAGTCCGAAAATATTTTGAGGGAACTAATAGTAGTTCAAACGAAAAACCACTTAAGATAAAAATATCTTCGAGTAAAAGATTGGTTTCAGCTTTTCAATCTCCCCGATGCAGATTTTGAAATCAGATTTAGCAAATAGCAAAGGCATGACAATAAAACATTCCAAATACCGACAGGAGGAAGTTTTATCTCATGCATTGAACATAGTATGGTGAAAAGCCTTCCTGTAAAACGCATAACCCAAGTACAGTTACTCGTATCTGCAAGAGTTCAAGCAGAGTGAGGTGCGGTGATGGAACTCTCAATTGATGCGAAACTAACCGTGCCTTCGTAAGCAACCACTTCAATCGCGATGGTTCCCAGCCCACGACATGCATCAGCGTGAACGTTGAGTTTGAAATGCCTGATCTCGGAAACCCAAGTGACGCATGACCCGCCATAAAACTGCATAAGAGAAAAAGCCTTCTGTTGAAATACCGAATATAATCGCTTCTACGGCTGCAGAATCCCATACTTCTGCAGAGGCAATTTTCCTCACAGACGATTATAACAAACCAATAGTAAGAAAAGTTGTATTTACACATGTGCAAAAAGCTACAAGAACCCAGTTCCTCCTCATCTTCTCAAAAAGTTCTCATTCATCCCACCCCGTTGCCTCGATTTTGCATTCCTCTGAACACCCTCTTCCACTGATGTGGAAGCCACATGGTCCAGAGTAAGACCCCGAAGAAATGAGGCCCCATGTTTAGCCCTGGCCTCTCCCTCCACCTTCTCCTCCCTTGCTGTCTCCGCCCGATGTTTTTCAAAGCGCTGCTGCCGCTCCGCTTCGCGTTCTTTTGCGTCTGCCGCCATCTGCGCCCTTAGTACTGCCATCTCCTCCTGTGTCCAACGACGCGCACCTCTACGGTGACTTTGCTCAAACGATCTGGATCTCGAGCTCCGCTTATGGCGGCCCTGAAGATGTGAATGAGATTGCAGCGACCGATGTTGACGTGCAGCACCACCAAAGGATCTGGATCTCGATCGACGCCGAGTTCTATCGCCGGTGCGACATTCGTCAGCCTTCTGCTGGGACCTGGACCTCGATCTGCGTTTATCGGTACAATACAAAGAACCTACATGTGACGCCTTCTGAGAGTGTTGATTGGAGCGAGGGGATTGAGGAGATTTGGATCTCGGTTCACGCCGATTCCAATCGCCACGATCTTTGAGAGCCTTAGTTCCCGACATAGATTTCGATCCACGTCGAGGTCGATCATCCGAGCTAGCTAAAGGACCTTCAGAAGATGGGTCTTGAAGCTTTCGCACTGGTGATAAATGTCTTGAAGATGTGGGTTTTTTATCAGACTGCAATTTGACTTCCTTCTGTGAATGATGATGTTTCTTCTTTTTTCCTCCTTCTTTTTTCTCTTTTCTCCCTTTTCAGAATCTTCCGCCTTAACTTTCGCTCCATCCGGGTTTCGAATGAGGCTGATAAACTTCTCCAAAATGGCATCATCCTCCGGATTTTCTGAGGAATCACTGGATGAAGAGGAAGAAATTCGTCTTCGCTTATTCTTTCTCTTGCTCTCCCTCTTCCTCTTCTCCTTTCTTTTCTCCGCCTTCTCCTTCGCGTGATTCTGTAATTCAATCTAGAGAGAAGGAAGTGGAGGGAGTGAGAACCAAAGGCTACGAACCAAACGCTGAAGCTTCTTCATCCTCGCGGTGTTCTGCAGAAGTGCGCTTCTCTTATCCATCTCGTGTTGCCTGAAGTAGAACAAAGCAATGGGAAAGTCAAGGCGTAGAATCTGAACAATAAGTGTAAAGCAATGACCCAAAAGAGAGAGAGTAGGAATTATGAAAATGAGGCCGAAGGAAAAAATGTGGGAGGTCATTGAGGTGAAGGTGTAGGCGATGAAGAAAGGAAAATAAAATAGTCTAATATGTTTTAGGAAGGGAGAGAGAAGCTAACTCACCGCATGAGATTGAGCGGATCCTCTCGAAACTTGGCCTCCATATCTAGACGAGTAAGCCGTTGGGTCGGGGTCTCCTCCTCCTGGTCTCGATTGATCTCCGTCAACTCCTCCAGACTGCGAATGGCCTTGCCCAGTAAAAAGTCCTCAGCATTGCCTTTCGGCTGCTCATACATCCATGCCGTCGAAGCGTCTGGCCCATTGGCATTTTTCGATTGCAGTTGTTGATCACCTTTTGTCCTGGTCAACTCGCCTATCTTCCGGCGCTCCTCCGGTGGCTAGAAACACGAAGGACGGAAGCTAATTTGTCTTCATAATTGGGTGTAGTAAATTACAGTCCCACGCGTTGCTTAGATAGCTAGTTGTCTCATCTCTCATCACTCATCTGTAATCATCAGTCTAGGGAACAACAGAAAAAACCCTTGCGTTGTCTTCTTTGATGCTTATTCCTAAATCTAGACGTTTGGCAACAAAGTAATTGGTTCAACTGAACGAATCCTTATGAGCAGTGGGAGGAACGTTGTACTAGGAGCAGTAAGCATAAGCAGAAGATATACCTGGCCAAATTCAATTTCGACATTTGAGTGTCGCGTGTTTGCGTGAGACGAGTTGCTTTGGATGAACAGCCAGGATAAATAAAAAGCTTGCATTGGGCTAGCAATAATTCACGAAGGTAAACTTTTCGGTATGACCAATTCACGTACAAACAATAAAAATACCAAATAACAAGCGAGTTGCACAAGATACAAAACTAGGTTCAATTATAAAACCATAATGAGTATGTCCGTGAATAAGACGGTTGAGAAAAGGAATTCTACTAAACGAGCGAATGGTGCACTGCAACCTGATGCTCAGATTTAGATATCACAATTTTTCAAGGCATTTTCGTGTTTGTTTTATGACTTCAGTAAATTAAAGACCAGAAAATCTGATACTTACACATATGAGGGGTGGTTGGAGTGATGCATGAACTAAAAAAGCAGACATGGCTTCTCCACATTTCCGGCTGGTAATAAAGTGTGGAAAAGATATGTCGAATTGGACTAAAACCAAATGAAATTGATACAAAACTCTTCTACGTTACAATCTCTACCTAGCCAAATCCTCACTGGCTTAATAAGAGAATTGGTAATTCAAACTTCGCGTCTCTAGAAAGACAAGTATAGAATCAAAAGTATATGCTACATCAAAAGAAAACACTATGTTCTAGTTTAGTTAATTGATTATTCAGAAAATGAGGTTGTTGGTCTTTTTGCAGTTCGCACTTCACATATGCTTTATTACAAGATTTATACAATTCACTTGGGCGCTATCACATAAAGGCGACCAACGGCCTCGTCAAGCGCTTTCACTACCAACTCGGCGTTCAGCGAACCAAATCACTCCCCACCTTGTTGCCTGGAATCTGGTCCACGGTGAAAGAGAATATTGACTGTCCACGTTCGGAGCCAGTGTCAGATAATACACATTACCCACGTAAAATGTTTGCCGACGTCCCTACCACAGATGAAATCGATTTCGCCTCCAATGCGTCGTATCTCAGGTACGACATGTACCAACTAAACCCTACCTCCTTCACACATATCTAATCAATCTTCACCAATCCATTTGGACTGCCCGTTTCCCGTTCGAGATTGTTAGAATCTATAATGAGGTCTGCCTTACAGCTACTCATTAGGAATGTTAAAGCACTACACCAAGCATATCTTCATTGATCACAGCACTACGAAGAATGCAGTCACCATTACCGAAATGCAAGCAGCTTTCTTTATCTGCACTTCGTAGCACCGTTCTGTCCAGAATTCCAGCGACATCAACACAAACACAACCTACACTCCAAGAGGAAGGGTGTAGTGATACTTTTAAAATAACCAATATTTACTACCCGTTTATCCCCTCACATTCTTCCTGTTCGTTTAGAAAACATACCGGTGCAAAAACTGGATGAGCAACACAAATAATACATCGGAAATGCTACTGCCAGCTGCAAAGCTTTGAGGCTTGATCATCGCAAAAATGCGCAGCTCCTACTGACCCAGTAGGGACAACGACAGCACAAAAAGGACTTTTGTATCCTACAATGCCGAAAGGTCCGGTACATCAGGGGTTTACATCGTAACGGTTAATAATATCCAATGGGCTAAGGGGTAAGCTCAACAAACAAAACACAAAAGCGGGTGAGTCAAGCGTGTAGAATCCCTTAAAATGTCAATGACTTCACTGGAATTTGATAATCTTGTGCTCTAGAAAGTGTGATTTGATTTGTTGCATAAACGAAGTGGGCCTATCAAGCAAGTACATCTACGAATCCGTCAAACAAATTTGCGACACCTGAGCTAGATCAAAATCCGTCTTTTTTAAAGTACAATCTGTTAAAATATTAATAGTAATTTCCTCCCGAAAAACGGCATTACATTATATGTCTAAGTTTAAATCAATAAGGCAAAAACGCTAACGGTCGTATATTAAGCGGACATATAACTATCTTAGGAAGTGCATGTTACACCGTAGTGCAAACACTATAAAAAAGGGTTTAAAAGTCAGTAAAATGTAATATACAACAGCATCTAAGAAATAAAATACAAAACGAATAAGAATTTAGTGCAAACCGCGTTATCCCTGATAACACAAGAAGGCCAATATCCATGTGGGGGCGATAAAGGATTTGAGAATACCAAATATAGTCAAAACTACGCCAAACTCGACTGTAAAATGAGCAGGAACACAAAACTTACCAACTTCTCCACCTCCGACTGAAGAGACATAGCATGGGATGTTATTGGTGGTTGAGGAGGGTTACGAAAATCTCTACCTATCCGAAAAAAATTAAAACCAAGCTAACTATTAGTAATTTCAAAATCGTCCTTGGTCAGCCCTCAATCAAAACCGATAAAATTTTGACAAAATCAAAAAAAATACAAACACGCAAATACCCGACCAAAATGGCAGCAAAACTAAGTCTAGGTTATAAAATCCGTATTCATAAGTACATGCTTGCCATTAATACCAGATATTTGCAATGCCAAATTTTTATTTTAGTTAAAAGCACTCTATTTGCAAAACCACTTTCAGTTTAATTTTGAACAGAGTCTAGAAAAATAACTAAAACAAAAAAAGTCACCAGAACTCAAAACGTAAGCAAGGTATATAAATTACTAATTTATTTGTTTTCTGTTTAAATAAACTTTTAGGTTAAATTTTAGCTTTTTAAAACCCTTCTCTTTTTTTAAACGTTTACTATTTCACTTTTAGAGTTCGTGATTTTAGTACTGATTATTAAACTTGCAGTTTAGTGCTAATTGTAACTTTAGATTTTGCTTTTTAGATCGTAATTTTTGACTTTAAATGTCGTTGTAAAATAGATGCTTTTTTGTCCTTGTAGATATAAGTTTTAAGCAATCAATGCAGGACTGCTAAACTTAAATGATGTCTTTCTCATGCTGATTGGTCATCTTTGTGCGGATGATTGATCTGGTCACCAGGTTTGGCGTTTCGTCGATTAAGTCATTTTTTAGACATGCTGAAGGCCTTCTCAACTTTTTCGTTGTTTACGAAATTGAAACCAGATTAAGTGAGCTAAGCTTTTACCTCAAACTCCTATTGACGATCCCAATTTGATCCCTATGTTCTGTTAATTAGATTTTACTAGACATTCATAGGTTTTCTCAAAATCCTTTACTTTGTATTTAATGGTTGTCTTTTAGTAGTAAGGCATTAACTAGTATTTGGTATCCTCACTGTTCATTTCACCCCATTCCCTTCGTATTTTCTTTCTAGTCAGGTTTCTTTTCCCTATTTCCACTGGCCGTGAATTCGTTGATCGTCTTATTGAATTTGGTCCAGGCTGTTGTAAAGAGTATGTCTTACCTTCCTTTCACTCCTCACCCTTCATGTGTAGGCTTCGTTGTGGCGAGTTTTACATCCTCCTCTTCACTGACAATGAAGGTCGTTCTGAATACGCCCACTGTCTTCAAACTGCCGAAGATCTTCTTATTTGTTTCACCAGGTAGATTGCCCACTATTCTCTTTTCATGACTTCTAGCTACCTCCCTTGGTTTGAATGTTTTCATCGCTTACTGGAGGAAGTCAAGTCAAAGGAGCTCTATAAGCACGAGCAACTTCCCACACTCCAGCAGTTCATTGCAAAGTTGTACTCCTTGAAGCCTCCGCCAGCTGAAAAAAATGCCATTTCCATTCCATACCCTGTTCTTCAAATCCCTTATCCGGTAGGTCTTCTCGTACTCTGCTTCGAAGTCACTATTCAAGATGGCTGTTTCGTTCGTATATTTTCGTTTGCTTTGGCGTTAAATTTGTAAGAGGGTTTTGGGTATCTGTGGATTGTTTTAGCAACTCAAAGCGCGCAATCTGCCTACGGTAAGCTATGACAATTCTCGTTTGTTCGGTCGCTCGTCCACGCATTCGTTAATTTGTTGGTTTGGTCATTCGCCTCGCACCCGCCAGTGTGGACATTTTTTGTTCATTTAATGCCTCTCTGCGTGTGTTTAATGCGCCGCCATCGGTGTTGCCAGTTTTGTATTCTTTGTGTTATTTTTTTTCTTTATCTAAACGCCCGCTATGCACCCCCTAACAGGTCTTTTGGAAACCTATTCTTCCATCATGATGGTAATCAATTCCCGCCAAAACGAAGGATGTGAAGCATTCTTGAAATGGCTACCGTATTTCTCATCCAATTTAATATCGACTTAGGCGTCGCATGCGGCCGACCTGTCTTTAGTTAAAAACGTCTGCCAGTACGGAATACTTTACTTCTGCATCCAAACGGTTCCTTGCAATTTTGAGGTGCCTGCGTTAATGCGTCACCTTAATTGTTCAAAAAGGGTGTTATTGCCATGGAAAAAAACGAGCGGAATACGCTTCTTATCCCATGCGATTACATTAGTTTCATGGGATAAAATACTTTCTCAAGTTAGTAATTTAACGCCTGTTCATTTATTGATCTCACTTTTTTCCAATTTTTCGCTGATCATTTGCATCATTGCTGTTCTAGAAGTTATCATTACCTGAGTTATCGCTCGTTTTTTCTTATATCTTCTCCCCCACAAAACCTCTCTGTCAGACCTTTTTGTTATAATTCTTATAGTTCTTTGCAGAAAGACGGATTAATTCATATTGATTAAGTATCGTAGGAATGACAGCTGTGAATCCTAATTTCCACGATTGTATTTCAGGTTTCTGTTACGAACGATTCATTTTTACCTGCCAGAGTTGTATTTTCTAAGCCATTATTCCATCGACTGTGCGCTCATTAACTTTTCATACTTGTTTCAACACTTCAATGACTGCAGTATCAAATTTGCTTTTGGAAGAGTTTTCTTTCGTAAGCTCCCTCTCTACTATCGTACTTAACATCACTGTTATCCCCATAGTTGCCTTTTCCATCTCTTTATTCTGCTACTTTATCGTGCTAAACGTCATTTACGTACGCTTTAACTGACCTCTTCCAGCACGGTAGCAATAATAATTCTCATTAGAACGAAAGACGAACATTCTGTTTATCATTACTGGAATGGTATTCATTTTTTGCTGTCTACTTTGTTCCCCACTCCAGTTTCTCATAGCTAGGGTTTGTTTTTCTTACCTAAAATTGCCTTTAGGCAGAATTTTGACTTAATTTTCTCCTCGCGTCAAGCAATATGTTAAGTTTTTGTATTGTCCGAGTTACTTGGGTAGGTGCAAGGTATATGAGTCGCCACTGATGTCTTCTTGATCGTATTAACCATCCTCAGATTTCTTGGACCATTGTTATGGTCGTAATTTTAATCAGAGCTGAAGACATTCATATTGAAGGCACCCATTACTTACCTAATCTCCATTTCAGGTCTCTCATACGGATGGGCCATTTTCGTTAATTCCCCATTTACACCCCATTTTTATCTCAGGTTTCTTATAAAGCTGGCTTGTTTTACGATTGAAGTGGTCTGTCAAAGAGATAAGTTCACTAAGCTTTTTTAGCACAAGTTTAACCAATACAGGGGTTTTATGATATGTCTATAATCCGTTTGGTGGTCCCCTTGCCTTTATGTCTTTTGTCATGCTGTGGTTGTAACTGGTGGCGCTTGTCAAAGTGGAATAAGCGAATTTGGATAGTCATGGATTGCTACAATATAACCTATGCCTCTTGATCTCAGCTGAGATCTCTCATGGCTGAAATCATCTTTTAGGCTGGACATTTTCCGACTAACAATTCACGAACCATCCCGAGTACATTTTCTTCAAATAGTTTATGGATGTTTCTGCCTAACTGCATTGGCTGCACTGACGGGTCTGTTGAGGCCATTTCTATCATGATAGTACTTATAGTTCTCTGATGCACACAAAATACGCAACATACATGATCGACACGCACTTTAGCGAACCGATATCATTGGACCGTCAGTCGCTGACAGCTGAGGTCTCAATTGTAGCTGGCTTATTTTCATTTATTAAAATTCTTTCATAAGTGAATGTGCGGCCGTTTGCTTGTCCCGCTTCCTTCAGTTACTTAAGAGCCCGGACTACTTGAGTTAGTCCTTGCGGATGTCATGAGGCATATTGGCAAGGGCACGGCTTTATTTTTGGCAGAATACCTGGCATTTGCAGTGTTTCATGCTACCAGACTGGAGGTGGAATCAAGGGGTCTTTATTTTGTCTGCAGTGCTTCATTGTTTACACGACAGATTTGGCACTGCTCTTGGTCTTGCATGAATTACTCTAAAAGATCCTTTTTATGACAATCCATACCCTCACCTTCGCAGTGACTAAATTAACGAAAAGTAGTAGACTTCTGAGGCCTGAGCTTTCGAGTCCCGTAGCTAAGACGATCGCCATACTTGGAATCATTGTGAACTGGAAGAAATGTCCTGGGTAGGTTATGGCACTGCTCGCTGGTGTTCCATGCCATCGTGGACCACTAATTCGTGTGTACCCTAAGATGAATCAACGATTTCCCACATTTTTCTTCACTCCTGTAATGGGGTTTGACTTTTTGCTTAGCAGCGGTGATGGGTGCTGTGCATGCTCATACACAATGATATAATCTGATTTATGGGCTATGGTGTTGCGTTTTGCCACGAATCTCTTGCTTGTTAATCGTTTCACTGGGGTTATTCATCCTACTACCACTACAACAACAATAACTCCCATTATGAACACGATCTATAAATAGCCAAGGCTGGAGTATCAGAACGCTAACAACTCTCGAATGTATTGTGTGAAGTTAGCAAACATTTTTGTGCGGCTCATTTCACTGATTTTCTCCTCTATTGACCTCTACCCCATTTTTAGAAGCTAGCGTAGAGTTTGAGATGAAGCCGTTAACGTCGTGTTGGACACTGATACGACATCATAGTCTCCTAGTAGTTTGCCAAGCAGCCTGTTTATCGCTTTCGTTACCAGACTCACTTCCATCTGATGTTCCAATTACTCTATGTCCAACGTCACAAATGTGTGACGTACTGCCTATTTCAATTTATAGCAATGAGTTGCACCAAATCCTGCTGCAAACAGATTAGTTAAGTTGATCATGCTAAGATTGGTGTTGGAAGTGGCTGGTATGTGGGGTCCATGGTAAGGTATCACATGGGTGTCATCCAATTTCCCTTGAGACGGAAGTACATACAAAAGTATATCACCTCCCCAACAGGGGTACTCGAGGGTTTCAAACATTTAACCATCTTAGATTCATACTGTCCTTGGCTCGACGTCCGTGAAATTTTCGGTTTTTTGTGTTACTTTTTTACGTAAGTGTTTTCTATTCGGGTCACTTTACTAGCACCACACCTAAAGATGACTCAAACCTGTCCTAACGTTGACCTTGCAGTACCAGTCTACGGACGACAATAGGTTTTCCTCAACCCATCATCGAGTGAGTTACATTGGCTCTGCCGAATAGATCAAGAAGTGGCATATGTTCCCTATTACAAAAAAAATAGACAAATTGAAGAAAGACTGTAACTAATCCGCTCGCCCGATCCACCTGAACCACACATGCTTTGTTCTTCGAGTAGCGTACGCACTCCACAGCCGCACCGTTCCTCGTTCTTCCCGCTCCTTTAAAATGCACGCTTTAACTCACGCACTTTCATCTCAATGGTGACAACGACCCCACCTCGGCATGACCCTACTGTTTGTTTTATTGGCGTTTGTGTGTAGGTCACGCGCATTTACTGGCTCAGAGGAGCCTTTATGCTCGCACTCACACACAAGCATGTGGTTTTGGGCTTCAAGTTTAACCTTTTTGTTCCCCTCTTCCTTTTGGTAGGATATTCGACTGCCCATTCCAACTTCCAGTAATCCCCACTTTTTGGTAAGTTTTCATTACTTGTCTAACTTCTGCCTTGCTTAGAAGGCCCTTGAACATTACTATGCATTGGAGCCCTGTCAATGGGTGGACATTTTCACCAGGTAGAAAGGTCACTCTGTCAACTCAATTGTGATTTAGTATGCTTTTAGAAAAGAGTATTCTCTTCTACTCAAAAAGTCGGCAACGCCTAACCTACTGTATCATCGCTGCAGTCTCGCTTCTCTATCCCCTCTCATGGTAAATCTTCACATTGGTTTTTTGCTTATCTATTTATCTAACCAGGGTCGCACCGATATATCCAGTGTTGTCAAGGAAATTTCTGCAAATTCTGGAGTAGGTTTTTCGTATCTGGCTGATCATCTCTAGGTCACCCGTGCCCTTCATCGCCGGAATTCACTCCTGCATGTATGAGGTAAGTGGTTGACCTTTTTTCGTTCCGGAAGCAGTTTCTTCCGGCCTTTTTGTCCAAATTGTGGTGTAGCTATTCCGGTTGAAGATTGGGATGGTTGAGTTGAAATACCTTAGAAGTCTCCTTTTCTATATTCAGTGAGTTTTTTGCTTTCGAAGATGACCATTTCCAACTTCCTTGCCAATTGCTTTTTAACACCTTTCGACCTGAATAAGCATCCTTTATCCAAAAGGATGTCTTTTTTTCAAACAATTACTTATAGATGCCTTAAGTGCGCTTAGATGGACAAGTGTGTTACCCTTCTATTTGGTTGGAGTAACGTTACCGCGGCGTTTATGTATTTTTCCCGTCTCCTGAAATGAAAGTGTTGCAAGTTTTGAAAGTTATTTGGAAGGAGTTTCTTTTAATTTGCCTAAAATTTGCTCCATTGGACCATTTTGAACTTTTTGTGGATGTTGTTTAGCAAATTTGATTTATTTGGAGTCATAAAAAGAGCAGTGCTGTCTTTACTTCATGAAAGAACGTGAAGAAGGACTCTAGTTCATTTCATTGTGTACTCGTTGTGCTGTGCTTAGGTTACCTTTGAAGATGTTGAATCCTACCAGCTTGGACTTAGTTTTGTTATAGGTGACCATAAGGCTTGAACGACTAGTAGTTTGCGCCCTCAATGTATGGGCCTAACCGCGAGAGCCTGAAAAGGTAGTTGCAGCCATTATCTCTCTATTCTAGCCGTATGGCAGGAGAATCCAGGTCCACAATTAAGCGAATAATACTACCTCTTAGTCCATCGTTTTGGATACATACGAGTTTTATGCTCCCCAATATTATGGGGTTGTTCTAGTCAAACCGTGACTCGGTTTTTTGAGGCTTAACTAGATATACTGCTATAACCGCACTATACGTGTTGTGAATACCGACTGTATCCTATCAGTGGAGGAAACAAAGCTGTCAATAAAAGCGCTTGCAGAAGATTTAAAGCACACTGCAGTACTGTGAGGGACACCCAGCAGTAAGACATTCCAATGGTGTCAACGTTTCAAAGGCAGTAGCAAACGCCTGCTAGTGATGACTTGGATCGTGGCGGTTCGCAGTCCACCTCCTCAGTATTCATTCACATGGACGGTCACTTAACGCATTGACCGCCTAATTTAAGTATAATCTGTCATAAATTCGCATAAGATATGGGTTTTCTCTTAGTGTGAACGAAGGCGATCATCTATGATCAGTTGCAACCGTAAAGTTAACCCACACTAGTTACCAAGACATGCAGACTGCTGTGTACTGATTTGGCTGAAGGTGGTTTCCAAGTTTTGGGTAAGCATTGAGATGGGTATATACATAAATGGAGCAGTAGGCAAGTAAGGGGAAAAATAGGGCCATTTTGCACTCAAGTAATTTTGTCTGCTTGAGTGTCTTCTCTTTCCATTGAAACGGTGGATAATACATGCAATGTCGTCCAATTTAGCCAAGCGATATGACATGAGGCAATCGTTTCACGCATTTACCTGGCTGGTTTTTATCTGCTTTTAAACTACTGTACAGTGTGTCTGATCGTTGTGGTTCTCTGCTGCCGGCCTTCATTACAGAGTTCCGGATTAAGGCGGTGGATAGAGATCGTCGCGGTTTTGTTGGCTCTTCCACTAAGAGGCTCCACAGTTTTAACCGTCCACACTTGACGCATTCCTCCTGTTTCGTTAGTAGCATCTAGTTAGAGGACATTCGAGTTATCTCATGATACCTTAGGTGCCATGAACAGAACCTGTGTAAACATGAAAAGTAGCTAGCGATTTTGTTATGACGTTACCATTACGACTGTCTCACTCACAAATTAGATTCTTAAGGGCTAGATAGATTTTACAACTCACTGTAGCCCAGAAGTTGTGTAAGATGGTGCAATTGGACTATTTCATCGACAAGATACCAGTTTGAGATTCGTTGAAGCCTGATAGCCTTAGAGGATGGGCTGATTTTCTATTTACATTTAAGGAAGCCAAACCTTACATCACCTACGGCACCCGTGTAGTGGATCTTGATGGTCAGCGAATTTACGTGAATATGCCGGAGGAGGAATTGGACAATGAAGCTATCCCCACGCCTATTGTAAGTGTCCAATTCGGGCTCATGTCTTCCCCCCTCTTCCCATCTTCCCTTCTTCCAGCTGGATTTCTTCGGAGTGCAGTTTACCGATGGCACTCGTTTCCTCAAATCAGCAATGAACAAAAAGAGCCACGAGTTTGCGTCGTGGAAGACCTCTCAGCTGCCGGTACAGAATTTCCTCTTCCATCAGGCCAAACCCTTCTTCGCCATCATCGTCAATCTCCTCGGTGAGCGACTCTTAAATTATGATTTGCCTAGTTAATACTTTAACTGCCAGTGTGGCTATAATAAGGTAGGTGGAAAAGAAGACTGTGATCTGACTCGAAATTGGAGTGCTCTTACTGACGTAGGAACTAATTATGGCTACTGCTGCTCAATGCTACGTGGTACACACATCGCTATGTCGTCGGATTTGAAGTAAACTCGATTTCAGTCATTTGCCCTCAGCGCCTAATCAACCGGAATGTTGCGACGCAACAGTTACTTGTAACAGTTCCTGCTGTCACTCAAAGTAGTTTACGTGATGCATATAATTAATGTAAAATACCCTTTTTCTCCGAATATGTGATCAATCAAAGTAGTGACGTAGTTTTAACTGAGAAAGATCGGACAATTGAAGAATGACGTGTGAGGAATTTTATCATAGTGTCGAAGACTTGAATTGAGATGAAGGTGAGTATGCTGGATGAGCCGAAGGTAGTTATACTCCGAGAGAGTTAGCAGCTAGATTAAGCTTGTCAAACTTTCCAAGATGCCATGAGTTTGATTGACAGTTTGGTATGCTCTTGATTTGAGGCTTGATTGAAGAGGTGGCACTCTCCAAACGACTAAACGAAATAAATGGTTGAGGAAATGGCATCATTCTAGGTGGCATTATTACCAGCTATATTGCTTTGACGACGCCCTTTTCAACCCTTTAATGAACTCAAACGTCGAGGTCCAAAGTGACCCATTGCGTTCCCTCGAATGTGGGTAATGAATAAGGAGGTTGAGCAGATGGTGAGGTAGAATGTGGTGGGAGCAGGAAGGGTAAATGACGATCCTAAAATCGCCCAGTTTAGGCTTTCAAACGTATTGTCATGCGGTTGGCATAAATTATTGTTTGTCACATTGAATTCAGATTCGAGTGTAGTTAATCTGCATTACCGATTGTATAATAACGATGTGCGGCTTACTTCACCACTCAATCTCATCCTTGAGGTCTCATTTCCTGCACGCTTTCGCGTCTTGAATTGGCCCATTTTATCACGTAGCACGTTTAAGAGGAGGTATTCAGTCTGCTAATACTCTACTTTGGTTGTTCTCGTGTTACCACAACCATCGCGAAGATATTTTGCTGTCGAGGATGTCATTGTTGAGTTCTGCCTCCCTCTTCATCAATATGTAGCATCCTGAAGTGGTAATATGCCATGCGAGTAGGAAAGATACGGACAAGGTGAGCGACTGTGTACTAATGACTGAACGATGTCCTACATCAAGCCTATCCAATGCGTCAATTGCACTTTGTAATGACATTCGCTGGAGGTCAACCTTTTGAAGGGATTTATCGTGCTATTTCACCCGAGGAAGTGTAGTGTGACTGTCTGAGTTTATTGACGAATTGCCGGAAACTAATCTCCAGACATCAGCGACCATCCTGTTGAATCTATAGTGTGACTGCAGATTAAATCGCCCAAATCAAGTATTCTTTCTCCGTAACACCTAAATTCGGTTGCCAGTCAACAAAATCCAGTTGGATCCTCATTTTGATCGGGGGTGCTTACTGCTGCCACCAGTGTAGAGGTCCGACTCCCTCCTGAAGTTGTGACATCCCTTACCGCGTGTATGGCTGAAGATCTATTATTAACATTCAGAGGGCCTGGGTACGGTTGAAAGGTCACACCGTCGCCTCGCGAAGCCTGAAGAAACCTGTATTTAAAACTACCAGTAAATGTCATTTTAGGCTTAAAAGCACTCGGGTGGATTCCAGACAAATGTGCGATTTATCTCCTGTCTCGTTTCTTCTTTTCCACAGCGTTATGGATAAAAATGCTTCAAGGCTAGCGGTTTTTTGTTGATCCTGGTTAATTTGTAAGGCATCAGGCTGTTGCTGCTGCTGCTGCTGCTGTTGCTGCACAGGGTCACATGCTTATGAGCAACTAGGAAAAAATGGAAGGCAGGAATTTAATAACAACAATTAAAATTTATTACCAGTGTGTTAATACCGATGAAAGCAATTGGGGAAGGGAATAAAACATTTGACTTTATTTTTGTAAATAAGATATTACACCAACCATTTGGTAATATTAAAGGCCGAAACCATTGATATAATATGGCGTAGTCGAAAAAAAATTGTCCGATTTTCGGTATCGTTTACTACAATGACTCCGTGGAATTTGTCGAGTGCGAGTGGGTGTTTATGTACGTGCATGACAAAGCATGAGTGAGCCATCAGTATGGTATTCGCTATTCTGCCCTCCATTACTTTCTAGTTTTTGTTTTTTTACTTCCATGTATCACAAAACGTCCATTGAAACTGGTGCATGTGCTTCAAGCTTATCTACTTAACCGTTCGAGGTATGGCGAAGGGTGGCTCCTTGTTCTATTTGTTTCATAGCATTTGAAGGGAGCGTGGTGCGTCGTGGCAGAACGCATCACCCGGAATCAAGCGGTTTAAACAATTGAAGCAGTTTTTGCGATGAGTCGTCATTGGTCATGATACAATAGTCCCCAGTTCCCATTTTCATCCCTCCTTGTTTAAAACAAACATTGTTTCTGAGGGGCAAGCAACTTTAGCGAGTGAATCCACCGTACTCACATGTCATATGACATTGAAAACGGGGAAGAAGCACAAGCATTGCACATTTTGAGTCCATTTTTAGCTCAGTAAACGCACCAGAGGTAATGGAGCTCAAGATGTTGTTACCGAGCGGTGGCTCTCGGAGATTCAACAATCGATATTCTCCATTCAAAATAAGGTCGTCCGTTGTTGTAAAGAATTTGGCGATAAGTCTTCCCAGGTGAATGCTCTTAAAGCTTGCGGTAGCACATTGGGGTGTGGAAGTCTCCCCATTTCTTCGTAATAACAGTTCTTAATGTCTACACTTCCTGTAATTATACTTCAGTGACTTTCTTGCACCCTTAACGGATGTTTCCGGAAGGAAAGTGAAGAGATCAAGCAAAAATTGGTGGTATTATTTTCCACGACTTCGTCTTCTTGAGGTGAACTTCAACGAACCATTTGTCTACTGATGAGTAAACAAATCTGCCCACTTTGATTTTAGCCAAGAATGAAATGTGTGAAACTGAATTTACAAACAGCCTAGAGGTCACCCGATTGCCGATATTATTTTGGTAGCCTTAAGCACACTTTTTTTTCAGAACTTAATCCTTAAAAAAAGATATCACGTGCATTTTTGGTTCGGCTATTATCGCTAGAAGTTAACTAGGGTTGGCTATAATGCTTGAGTGATTTCTTTCGTGGCAGTTCTCATATGGCTGTAGATTTTCATCACTAGGAGGTAACTTTAGGCTACTGGGAGGTGACCATTTCCAGTTTGATGTTTCGTGTCATTTTAATTGTGATGACCTAGTAATGGCTGCCACAGTAATTATACCTGGAGCTAAACAGGCGACTCTCTCAAGGGTCAAGCATAGGGCGTTGTGGGTCAAGATTTGGTGGAAAGAACTTTGAAGCTAGCTAATTTCCCGCCGGCTTTTTGAATAATCTTTCACTTTTGCGTATCCGGCTGCCAATTGTGTCTGAATTCGGATTCAGGTGCTAGCACATTCGCCGCCGGCATCACATATATGCGACGTCGGGGTTCCCTTACCTGACCTCGGGGCGACAAATACTTGTAATTATGAATTCTTTGGTACTTTTTAATAAGTTTACAATGGTAAGGTAGTGTCAGAATGTTCGCTGGTTGAGGATCATTGCTTTTCCTTCAGTTCTCCATTGACTCCCTGATATTAGGGGTGTTAAAGTAAGAGGCCTGTATCCTCAACATCTCGGCCACATTCCACAGAATGGAAGCATGAAACTATTTGCCAATCTAAGATGTTTACTTGACCTACATATACTACAAATTGGGCCCGAGTCATTCCATTTCGCATTTCACCCAAGTTGATGCCATTTGTTGCTATGTGAGTTTGGTGCTTGAGGTAGTTTACAGCGCTTTGATCTCCGAAGACGCCGTGAGAACTACCTACAGGAGAGATGAGAGGTTAATAGCATAGTTCTAGGTCATCTCTGCGGCAGCTTAATTGCCGAAGGCTGGAAAGGTCTGTGTGGTCGAGTATAAAATTGTGATAGCACTCCCCCTCCTCTCTCTCTCCATCATCGTCTCCAATGCTCTCCATGACCGCTCTTTCATTCACGCGGGTGAGATCGGAATAAATCTAAGTTAATCGCGGGGAAGGAATGAGAATCACTAAGAGAGGACTTGATTTTAGCAATTTGAATCGCATTGTAACTATTTAGTGGTTTTGATTTGCTAAGGTCTAGACGCTTATTTCCTTCGTCAGACGTTTACCCTAAAGCAAAATCGGTTAACAAAATACACCGAACTATATTTCTGTTTTCGGCACTCCTGTCCAGTCGCTTGACCTAGTCATTTCTGGTCTCTTGCCACTCGAGGAGGTGCTGAGTCAATAGTGTCAACAGTTTCTTTAAGGCGATTACAAGTGGTTTAAATCTAATCTTGCTCTATTTCTGTCAAGTATGTTCAACTGGAAACTCGAGTATTTGTCGAAAATCGCTACTATGTTACTATGCCTTTGTTTTGAGTCTCCACAGATTCTGCCATCTACAGTAAATAGTCGATGACCCCCTTCTATGAGGCATTTTGTAATTCCAATTGCTGATTTGTAGCGTGTTTGCTTGCCGTTTTCACCAATGTATCGCCGGAGTTACCCTTAGGAAAACTATGAAACGTACCTCCTTTCAAGTCACCTTATTTCAAGTGTACAGATAAACTGATAGACCGGTAGTTTAGGCGGCACCAACACAGGTCAAATTGCCAATGACCTGGTAATGTCCTTGTATTCAAACGGGCAGCTAGGTCGAACAAGCTGGTAGATCCAAAAACGTCAAAATGCGTGGAACGTTCGATAGATACCACCAGGTGCGGAATGTTACGGGAGATAAGTCTTTTCATGAGAATGGCTGTCCTGGGGTGGTTTAGGCCTACTGGAAAATCCCAGAATTCAAAGGTTCAAGTTTGATTTTACCGTCCCTCCTACTTTGGATACTGAATTCTCGGATGTAAAAAGTGTACATGGCGGTAGTCTCTCTTCAATGGGCATAATTTTCTTTATTCCCTGTAGGATACTTCCGCGACTGCACAAATTCAGCTGGTCAGGTGGATTTCCAACAGATGATTGCCTGCCAGGACTGCCCACAACTAAAGGCGTTCCTTCAGCGACTCTACGAGTCTCAGATGGTGCACTGTGTAGGTCATTCATCTTATTTGTTTCCTATTTATCTGATTCAACTGGAAGTGTGCTCTGCAACTGCTTCCGTGACCACTTCTACAACATTGTCACGTTAGAAGTGGTGATTTTCCAAGGGGATGGGGCTTAGCTTCTTGGTTTGGGTTTTTGATCGAATTGTCATGAAGCCTCACAAGTCCGATCTGTTGTCTCATCGTTCGGTTTATCTCTGGTGATGACCTGGGAAATGCGAGTTTAGAGATTTCTCTATCGCCAGATAGACAGAAGAGTCTGGGGGGTCAAAAGCATAACTTTATACTGAATTGCTCTATTATGGAAAAGTTTTCCTTGAAAGCCATCCTCGGTGTTTTCCGACTGAACCAAAAATAATGCGATAGATTATCATCACAGTGAGAATGCTCCCTTATTCATTGGTGGTAGTTTGCACCACAAATTTATGTGACCTTGGAATGTCACATGATTAGTTAAAGTAGTTCAGGCAGGGAGGCTTCATTTCAGGAATAGTAATAAAGGCTGGATGATGTACATAGAAACGTTTGCGTAAAAGTGACGTAAGGGTATACTGTCTACCGATTTCTCCTGACAACAATGTCAACGCTTCGATGAGAACTATTTTGATTCGTTCAAACCTGGTTTTGCTACCTTAGATCAAGGCTCAAGATGTCACCTTTCCCCAACTTCACCCCTCTTTAGTAGATGCTCTTCTTCTATGATACCTAGCCTAGATACCACAGAGGAAGAGGATTATTGTTCTTTTAGGATGATTCTGCCAACTGCGGATTCATTTTAGACTCTGAGACGTATTTGAAGAGGTTACAAGGCCCGCGGGTTCGGAAATCGCCTTCTTATACAGTACAGCTGCAATTTGCATACCCACAGTGTACTATGTGAATCATTGTTAGTCAATCAGTCACTGCTTTCGTGACTGGCTCCTTAATGCAGCTACACTGTTCAAACGATTCTTCCGCTTTCCAGTTAAAATGAAATGAGGCTCTGTGATGATTAACTTATTCATTTTGTGGATTTGCATAGTTAGATTTTCCCCCTCTCGCTCTCCTGAATGGAATCCCTCTGTCCGAAATCATCCTTCATTCTGATTGCCCTCTTTTTAGATGATGCGATTCCTGTTTCCGTTCGCTAGACTGTTTTTCCCAAACAATAGCCTGGAGGTTAGTCTCATTACTATGACATTTTGTGGATTTTTCTCACCACGGAGTAGATGGGTTATGTGTTATGGAGTTAATAAATCATACACGTTATGATTTTTAAAAGCCGTCTTGAAATACTCTCACCGTCTTCTGGCCACCTTTCTTACCCACAAGTCGTTTTTATTTCCTGAATTGCTTTTGATATGATTAAATCGCCAATTCTTGTCAGGTTGGCGGTTGCTTCGTTACCAATTTTAAACTTCCTTAAATGTTCCTTTCCCAGGAGCCTTTTAATTGTCCATCTTTCCTATTAAGACCGTGTTTATAACCATTAGGGGAGGTAGTGTGGCTAAAAATCCAAATTTGGATTTTCATTGGAGCACATTATTTCAATAACTGCCGACGATGAGGCTTTCTGTCTCTCGAATGAATGTCTCCGTCCAAAAGCGCCCTTCATTCTAATTACCCTCTTTTTAAGAAATGCAACTCTTTATTCCGTTATACGCATAAATCGTTATGAACAGGACAGAGGGCACTGACAAAATGATGCAGCTCCATATTTTATAGTGGGTTCTGACAAGTCCCTTAAATTACTTGGAAGAATGAATTTTCTCCTTAAATAGTACCCTAACACTAGTGAACATTGATAATGAAGCGTCTATAGTTTGACAGTTATCCGCAGACATCTGCTTCCTGTCTTTAATCAGGAAAAAAACATGAACTATTTTTAAATGTGACTTCCTTCATTTGGGGAAACAATGCCCAACTACAGTTCGAAATATCAACGTACGATTGAGGAAGGTTGGGAGTGGTTAGTGAACGAGCACATATTTTTTCCTCTTAGTTTCTGGACGAGCGATTGGCCAAACACACGGTGGATGAATTCGATGTTCAGGCTCGCCTCCTCTCAGATAAGTGTAAGGAGCGTCTACACCAGAGTGGCTCCAATAAGCTCAACTTCGGAGATCCTCGATGGATCGAGTGCAAGCGCTCAATCACCACCAATGGGGTGATTAACAATCTGCGCATCCGACGCAAACTTGGCCAACAGTTCATCAAGTTAACCTCTAGAGGAGCTACGGTGAGAAATGGTGTATTAAGAGATGGGAAATTTTCTTCTGCTTCTCTCTTTGAAGCGTGCTTCACACCTCTGTGCTCTAATCGTAGACTTGTTTTGAAACTTACACCGTTGTCACTGTCATCACCCGCTCATCACTTAGTGTTTTATGCCGCCTCAGTTTTTGTAAAACGCCAAGTTTGTCATAAAAAACTTTGACGAGATTTTCATGACAAACAAATCGGTGATTGTAATTTTAGCGCCTTGGATCTCCCCCAAAGTCATAATAGGCCATGCCACTATGGTAGATTTGTTATTAAAGTACAGAAGGGCTGAGAGGCTGCCAAGATGGGAATACAAATTACGGAGACTGAATGTACGACTAAAGTAGGTGTCATTCTACTGTATGGCCTTTCCCCTTGAGCGTGTCCGTTGACACCCTTCTTGGTGGTCACTCTTCTTCAACCATTATGAGGTAGGAATGGTAGTTGCTAAGTTTTCACATGACCGAGAGGACATTTACGCCTAGCCTCATTGATGCAGCACGGCCATTCTGTTGTATCCGAAGTCTCGTGCTCTTTGCGAACAACTGCGTTGGAGTAGAGGGATTCACTGGCTTCATCTGGCTCCATCTATGCGCAACAGATGCTGTCCTTGTGTGACATCACAGTGTATTAATCGGTCAAGTATGTCAGGCCAGTTGCTCTTTAGGGTTGAGTTTGCGTGTTTCCGCCGCCAGTTTAACATCCCATTTCTTCACGAAAGTCGTAAGGCGCCATACCGGTATGGAATGCAATTTATCATTTAACGTATAGAAGGATTGAGTGCTGTTGGAATGTCTTTCCAATTCTTGAATATTCTTCGCTTTATTTTTTTTTAATTTGTCCAAAATATCACGGTGAACTTTTTGAAACTTGTCGTATGAATGCTTCAATTGCCAGACGTTAGTGTCAGTACACTGAATGCCTGTTTGCTTCATCCATCACCCTCTATCTGAGAAGGCCCATGTAAAAGGGGTTCTATTGTTTTCTTTGTTATTTCACAATAAAACAGTATTTTAACCATCTTTAAACTGTTACCAAAACTCATTAATTTTATGTTTATTTTCGTCGAGAAATATGACAAAATTGGTCCACATTGTCAGCCTAATTTGTCTTGCATGATTAGACTTTGGACCCTCACCGACTGGCTGTGCGAATGTCAGGCACTGTAATCGGTCGATTTCAGGCTTTTTTTGCTTATTTATGTGTTTCCGTTGACATTTGATCACTGCATTTAGCTGATGCACCATTTTCTGCTTTAATTTGTGTTTAACGCCTCCAAAATTTGATTCACTTGCCCCTGCCCATCGAGAAAATCGCTGTCACGCCTGTTATTGGTTTCAGTGACTATCAAAAACTAATTATCACTAAGCCTCCTTGTCGGCATCACTTGATAATTTTTGGAGTTTCTCAGAGGATTACTTTAAGTGCGTTGATAATCAGCCACTGGAGTGCTCATAGTCACCTTAGTAATTGTCCTGGGATTGGTTGGTTCCAGTGCCCCCCCCCCCCGTTCGCCCCCTCATTTTCCTTTGCATCTCATTGGTTCCTTTAATTCATAACTACACGTCTATTTGCATGCTCACTAATCAAATAAATGTTGATCATGCCTACCATTATTCATAATTGGTTGGCCATTGTAACAATTTCCTAATCAGTTTCTCTGATTGCGAGGTCACATTACTTTGATATGTTCGGTCACCTGCTCCCAACGATTATTAAGGCAATAAGAGGCGGTCAAAATGATCCTGCGTTTTTCGTTGTGCACCTCTGCAATTCAGGCACAAATATGCACACAGAACCGAGATGTTGGCCCATCGGCAGTTATTATCCTGTGCTGAACTACTTTCCCTTCATTTTTCTATTTATATCCTCACCTTAACTCTCCTGGATAAGAAGGCACTCACAAAGTGGCACACACGGCTATGCTAATTAGCCTTCCATGAGCTCACACATCACGAGTGGTGAGCCACAACTGCTGTTTGCCTGCTTGCAATATTAAGAATAATTCCAATGCGAGAAAGAAAGTACTGTCTAGCAGGTGACATTGCTGTCCAAATTGGGTGCCTCTCTAGGACACGATTTGCCGCTGCTTTTGTACAAGCACGCATTGTATCAGTAGAAGCCATTGATATAATACTTCGGATTTGGTCTTTTCTGACTACTCATCTAGAAGACTTCCCGTTCCAAATCGGAGAAGGCGGGCTCGCCGTTGACGCAAAAGGAGGCAGCTAACGGTTTCCCCCCGACTCCTTCGATTTCCCACTCCCGTAGCACCAATATGGCCGATGCTGGACGTGGCGACAACTTGTGAGTTATCTTCCCTTTTTGTTATTCCTCTCATCCTGCATTCGTGTGGTGTTAGGGTGCCTGAGTTTCCTCTTCATCCTATTTATGCGTGAGAGACATCTCCCGGTAGCTTTCAATTTCTCGGGTTTTTGAGCAAAGTGGGTGCCATGTGGATCACATGCGTCAGTTGCCTCCTTCGTGTTCAAATCACAGAATCTCGGAATAAGTAATCGTTTACGGTAGGAAATAAAGGCGCTCCTCGATTCTTCGTGGCAGTTTTCAGCCGTCATTTAAGTAGCTCCATTTCACGATGCATTTGAAATGTTGATGGTAGGCGTTATCAGTTTCATCTTGTTTTACAATCCCCATATGGGCTTGCCGAATGGGTGTGCACACGAAGCCTGTTTTTGGCAGTCTACAGGGGGGATAATAACCTTTATCTCAAATACGCACCATTAGAGGCTCACAAATCATCTTCTGCATTCCTAAATGCTGAATTTTAAAAGGCGAACGTCTGCTTTCCCTTTCCACTTTTAATCTCGATTCCCCTAGAGCTGACAGTTTTATGGAAGCTCCCTTTCACTCTCTTCCTCTCTCCCTTGCCTTCAAGCTAAAAGTTGTCGAGGAGTGTGTCCTTTTGTGAGTATGTCCTCGGTTGAAGCAAGGGTCATGGAGGTTTGTGCATGCCTGCGTGTTCATTTAAATGCAAGTACACCTTCTACCGGCTTGCTCAAATCTCATACCATGACGAGAGTCTGGCTGTGTGCTGTTTTACACACAAAGCGGCTTTGGAGGGTATCATTGGATTCTCACGGAGCTCCTAGCTCACTCGTGAAAGAATTATTGTTGTGACGAAATTTGGTTTGGTGTCTCATACCACTTGAATGTCTCAGGCTCCAATCCAATGTCTAGTGTTTTGTCTCCAAGTTGAGAATGCATCTGTATCTATTCTAACCTCATTGGGGCATTTTGTCCCTCAATTGCCGCCGCACCTTTATCGTTTCTCGATCTAACGTCTAATCCGCTCACTTCCATCGGCATTGCTCCTCCTTTAACACACTAAGGGGACTCCCTGACTTCGTTAAAACCTGTTCCGAACGTCTCCGAACTTTCAGTGAATATTGGAACACCGATTCACCTCCCAATCCCCTCATTTCCACAATAGCGGCTCTGCCGAGAGTCGACCACGCGCCACTCTGCCAGTCACCAACTCTCGGCCCATCCGTCCACAGCAGAACGCGCGAATGTCCACCCCCGCAACCACAATGGCAACGCGCTTTAGTGAACGTCTTCCATCCCCCGTGGAATGCCTCTGCGTCCCACAGGGGGTGCCACTGGCAGGACCAGTCAGAGAAGCTCCCATCACCCCCACCTCTATCTCACAACGGCCTCCGATTCCACCGAAGAATTTTGTTCTCCTGGCCAGCAATAAGGTTTGGTTAATGAAATATGATTATAAAAGTAGCATTTTAGCTTTACTTCCTCTTTCCATTCATCGTTCTTACTTTGCTTACCTTTTAATGCTACTCCACCTCTTATCCAAGTTATCCGCAGTTCTATGCAACATGAGAAGGGATAGAGTTCTCAAACCCTGAATATAAATAACCAATCTGATGTCAATCTTACATACACTTTCTTAAGAAGAATTTTGATTTGTCCAAATGGGGTTTCACATCGGTACTGGCTGTTATGCAAAGTTCAAATTTGGAACAGTCTTCAAAAGTCCAGTCATATTCAACCGGCCATTCTGCTATTTTCTTTCTCTACCCTTGAAATAATGTGATGTTTGAGCTTCCACTATTAGTATAGTTGATCCATTTTGGTTTTTGGTTTAAAATGTCAAGTGGAAGCCTTAATAACGCTTAAAGCGAGTCACGAAGCGGCTCGTTTACATCTACATGCGATGGGAAGTGAAAGGTGTGGTGGAAGCTGAGCCACTGAGTGCCACATGTCATGCATCAACAGGTGACAAAAGAACTTGGTAGGATAGCGATGTGCCATTCACTTCTTTTATCTACGTCATAAAAGTGGAACGTTAGACCAGGGTTGTGTTGGTAGATGACTGTTACCCTTTTTCAATGTCAAACAAACGAGCTTGTCATTATCCTCTCTGGTGTAGCGGACTGAAGATGAAATTGTTAATTGAAAGTTGTTCACTTGCCGAGGGTAAAGCAGCAATTGCGATTGTGAGATCTATCCATTCGATGCGTTATATCTCAAAGACGTCTTAATGGGACTTCACTAACAACGACAAAAGTTAGTCATCCGGTGCGCGGGAGGCGGAGCGATTTCTATTCTTATGAGACAACGCATACCATGGACCGGTGTAAAGATGTCCACTTGAGCTGGAATAGTAGGAAGGGAGGAACTACCACACCTTATCCTCCTTATTGGTCTGATATTATTTCTCCACGTTACGGTTATTATCGTTTCCTGGAGTCGGACACTAGCATGTGAAATAGACTAGACAGTTGCTAAATGGGGGTGGTGATGGAGAGAGAGGTGGTTGGAGATGGAGATGGTTGATTTTTCTGTTACAGACAAAGCGTTCTATAAGGGTGAGATCCAAAGTATACTTGCCTCCCATCGCAAGAGGATGCTATCTCGAGGATTATCCCAGTGAGTAAAGTATTTGAAGAGGACACAGTCAGACGTCCGCTTAGAAGGGGACCTAGTGCAGCTATGAAGTTCGATCCCGCTACCTGGAGTACACTGCACTTTCCATCATCCGTGGAGCGAAGATGCTTTTTGAGTGTTGGAAGCCATCCCACCAACAGACTGTCTCGTCCACAATGCACAATTCAGTGTTCAACGCAAAGATTCGAAATTACGGACAAATGGTAGAGGAGGAGAAGGAGGAGGGGACTGTTAGTAGACTGATGTCTATCTATCCTTTAAAAGGCATGCAAATTTCGATTGGATCCACTTCACGCGGTTTTAAAGGTAACATTAATTCATCCAATCGAGGTGTAGTGAAAGCCGCTTGAACTTTTATGCCTCACCTGACCATGGAGGTGTGAAACGGGTAGGGGATCACACCTCTAGCATGGCGGTCAATCTGCGGAGGACTGAAGAGGCCTTATTTGAAGCGTAACTTTATACCTGAATTTTTGTCTGCATTTGAGACTCATTACTATTATTATTTGAACGGTTCTTCACACTAGATGAAACGCTAATCCTCCCCCCCCCCCCCCCTACTTGCATTGGTGTTTTGAAGTCTAAGTTGATCATGGCTTTTGGAATAACTAATTTTTTTTGCCCTATCGGTGAAAAAACCCAGTGTTATTTGCACACAGGTCAGGTGATGTATTCTTACGCCTTTTTGTCCATTAAAACAATGAGCTGTTTAATAATGCGTTTAAGATTCAGATCTTGGCGATAGGGATGGTATACTAACTTCCCTCACTGCTTTTACAAGAGGAGATAAAGTACTTTTAGGCATTTGTTGCTGGCATTTCATATTCCATCCTCAACCAACTTCAAAGAACTTTTGCCTTGTGGAAGCATGCTTGATTGGTAAAAAAATAGCGAAACATCTCACATACTTTCCCTTCCGCTTTAGCAATTCCATTGCAGCACCGCATCCCCACCCATCCCTCGCCGCAACTTCCAAAACACTTTCCCCTCCGCTCCCTTCTCTTCCACCTCCTACTCGGAGAGATTCAAGTCCACCAGCTTTGACCAAGACACGAATACACCCCCTCCGGCTCTTCCACCGCGCCGCCCCTCCCTCCAGCCCACACACCGGCCCCGCCCACCATTACCTCAATTACCACCGTCGGTAGTAATGACTAGCTTCTCCTCCGTCGCTTCTACCTCGGCGACACGCGTCAACTCCACGCCTGACTTGTTGGACGGGGCAGGTAGCAGTGGCGGAGGCGGAAGCACCAGTAGCGAATCGGTGTTAGCCAGCAGCGCCTCCTTGCGAACGGTGGACAGTGTTGATGGAAGGGGTAGTGGTGGGGAGGCTGGTGCGGAGAGACTAACACCTCTGGGGTTTCGACCGCCATGTGCCTTCCCACGATCAAATAGTAGCAGTGAGTGCCAACTCTTTTTCAACCTTCAGTGTTGTTTCTTGCTTAAACTGTCATTCCATATTTTCCCTTTCGTGTTTGTTTTTTTAATGGTAACTACTTAAGCACTCAGAGAGTAAAATTTCAGGCTTCGTTGCCACTATGTTAAGGGCACGTTGAAGCCCCATACGATATCTGTATCAATTCTAAGTACATCGACTCAACTGTAATTAATTTCAAACCCTGGATTCTTAATTATGTCATAAGAATGTACCTTGTCTCTGCCACAACTCGAGACCAGTGAGTCCTATTTTTCTATTCCTCAGTAATAGGCTTGTGCATTACGGCTAGAATATACCAACATCCAGGACATCCTAAACTGCGCAGTAATTTAGTCAATCCTCAGACCTGGCAGTGGGCTGAGATTCGCTGAAATTTGTTCGAGCAAAAGTCGCCCTTTTATCCCTTCCTCAAATTGTCCCCAGGTTGAGAAATAATAGTAGAACAAAATAACCAGTCAAGGGGGAGTGATTCATGTTTTTAGTGTTGTTTCCACTTCCTGGAGCATGCGAGTGAAGAAGAAGACGCGTTGAACGGCTTCGAGAAAGTGGCTGGAGCTCTGGAGCAAAAGAAAAGTCCAATTTAATGGCCTTATGCATCTCTCAAAACTCAGGTTCACCCTCCGTAATGGACACACCAATATGGAACACAATATCGCATGGGCGAAATTCCGCCAGTTCTCACTAAACGAATTCTTTTTTACTAACACTCTAACCGTAAATTTAACCATTTATTTGTTTCCTCCTCCCAGTTTGATTGAATTTGTTCAGGGTGGATGGTTACAACTGCTTTTTGCAGTTAAAGCCATCTACAAGAAAAGGACTTTTGCCGAGCATTGACAAATTAACTGCGACTTTGTTCATTAGTGACTACGTCCTCCTTTTTGCCCAATACTTGGACTGTTTTTTGGTATTTCGAGGTGCCTGCACTGCCGCACAAGAATTCCCATTTTCAAGCACAAGTTTCACATTTTCAAAGTGTGATCTAGGGGAAACGATTAGGGCATAGGAGCCGAAGCTCACCACTTAAAGAGGTCTACCCTCATATTGTGATTTGTCGAGGTAGTAGTGGTACATAAGCCGTTTAAAAATCCTTTTTTTTTTTGTTGAATATACCCACTTTTGATTGGGTTATTTCAATAGTTCTCTCATCGTCGTTTCACCTTTGTTATGCATCGTGTCACAGATTAAGTGCATACCACTGAAAGCATTTGTCTCTGATGAATGGTCTTTGTTTTGTAAGATTAGTGCTGTAGCGCCCCAAGGCCTCTGAGAAAAAGAAAGAATGCAGACTACTAGGAGTGGAATGTGCCTTATCGACGTACAGAAGGGCTGAGGGGCTACGGGTCCGACACCGAGACAACTTTGCACAGTGGAACTACAAAAGTGGAGACTTACGCGACCGCGTAACTCCTCTCTCCCTTTGAGCGTCGTGCCCGGCGATCCCCTTGGTCAACCTCCACTTCACCCCTCGCAACGTAGTTGGTACTGCAAGACAAACACCCACTAACCACCCGGGCCAGTCATCGAATTCGCGTGCAACTGAAATGGATCTGACTGCAACGTCACTGATCCTTTTTGGCAATTCCACTGGATGCGGAGTTTCGTCCTGTTTAGGAACCGTGATGGGGTTGCATAGGAATGTGCTGGCCAGCACGTGCCCATCACTAGTCGTAATGCTACTAGGTCATCTACTTCTCCTCGCCGTACTGCTTGTGCTTCAATGCTGTCCACCTATACCTGTCTGTCTGGGTTCTGTCTAGCTGGTGTAGAGTTGGGGAGGTATTCCGTGCTCCCTTCGTTGACATTCCCACACAAGTGTGGTAGGCAGCTCCGTAGCGGCTAGCGTTGCTTCGGTTGTTTGTAGCATCCCTGAAGAACACGGGGCTAGGGCAGTCGCCGAGGGTGGACATCGTTTTTAATTTTTCTGTTAGGTTTCCTCACATAATACTCTTTCATCTGCAGCATACGCCCATCTTCCGTCACCTTAAAGCTTATCACCCACCCTTGGAAGTTAGGACAGCTGTCCTCTTAGGAATCGGATTCGCTTTCCTCTGCCACCGTTGTAGCGCTCTGAGACTTCCTTGAGGACGAAAAAAGGCACAATACTGGGGCAGAATATGTGCTGCTGGTGTACAGAAGGGCTGGGGACCGGTTGCATTGCCCAGGGGTCATTCCGTTCAGCTGAGGTACAGAAGCTGAGTCCTAAGTGTCCATCCAATGAACGAGGGCAAATGACTTGGACAAACTCTCTTAGAATTAGTAGTTAATGCATTTCCATATGTGTATAGCCAAATTAGTGGACCCAGTCTAGGCCAAATCTATTATCAGTGGTTTTTGCGCCTTTTCTGCGATTCCTCTTTAAATACGGCCCTAGGAATGGCGATTTTATTGACAAAACCTACCCTACCGTGTTCACTGGGATTGAGTAGCAGCTAGTGCTCATCCAGAAGGTAGGCTGGAAGTTGATCGCATAATTGCGTGATCCTGTGACCAGCACTTGGAGAAGGTGTGGTATGTAGCATCGGAATGTACCGCACCAAATTAAATGTTGGCAACAATTTGAGTGATTCTGGTGGTGAATTACCCATGGTGACACATCACTTTCAAGGAGACCTTCCATTTATTTCTAGCCTGGCACTAAAAAATTACCTGCCAATATAGATTTGCAACAGTCATCCGAGATTGACGTGTCAAGAACTTAGAACTGTCAGTCGTTTCTAGTGAGGGTGATGGGGAAACAATACGTCTACACCCACAACAACCGAGAAGAGGAAATCGCGACGGAACAGACACTGAACAGTGCTGTCACTTTCATGCAGACTGGGTAGAATGGGTGCCATTCTGCAGCAAAGCCCCCTTCTTGTTCGGCCTGTCGTTTCCAGGGCTTCGAGTAGTCAGGTGAAGGGAAATCAAACCCTAAGGGGAAAAATACGATCAGATGGCTAGGAAACTTTCAAATCCATGTTTGGTGGCGTAACTTTGTGTAGTCACTCATTGTTACTCGCAATAGTGTTTTCATAATCAATTGCTACACATCTAGTCCCGAAAAAATAATCACAAAACTTACTCTCTCCGGAGGGTCTATTTTGCCTCTATTACTGATCTGCTCTCTTATATTGCCTTTAGTATCGCCTCTCTATCCGGCATACCCACGAGAAAGCGCCATTTGAAGGTGCCATGGCACGCATTGCACAGTTGGGGCTATTCCATTTCCCTCGCATCGTCTCAACTACCTTTCCCCTTCCCCCTTCTTCGATTCCTCCTTCTTCTCTCCCTTTTGTTGCGTGGTGTAATCTCTCCTCTAAGCTGGTGAAATAAACGAGAAGACCGCAAGCCGTCACTGCACCCGAATTGTCTCTTGATTTGGGCGACCAGCATCAGAGCCTCGTGACACTGGTGTTGAGGCTAAGATTTCACTTCCCTTTCATGCCTCCTTTCTTCTTTCGGGGGTCGTCAACAGAATTCCCCACGATTACCCTTCTGTGTCTTTCATTAGGCACAGTATTTGAAGGTACCCAGGTTAGACGTGAAACAGGTATACCCATCACGTAATGACCTGCTTCATCCAGGAGACTTCTCGGCGGCTGTTCCGTCACATCATCTATTAGGCAGCTTCGAGGAAGAAGATCGTCCAGTAAATAAACTTCACAGTCGATTTTTTCTTCACGTCACTCTTCCCTAATGGTTCAGGTTCCTTTTCATACAGCACTTTTGAATTCGCCTCCTTTCAAGCCCTTTGGAACAACTTATCTCGATTGTCTTCGACTTCAGCAATATTGTGGAACCATTCAAGATAGTTTTGTCATGAGGCGGTTTGTTTCACTTGAGATTGGAGTGATTGCCCAACGTAGAAAGAGCATTTAAGTCTCTGTGTAAACTCAACAACTTGTCTCTATTGCGTGGTAAACGACCCATTTACTTGGTCGTGAGTGTTTTGAAGCATCACTTGAACCGGTGCAGTCAGTATCATTGTCCGGATCACCCCTGAAGAGCATTTGGGACTGGGAGTGTGAAGAAGGACGGGGAGGTGACAGGTCACTCAAGAAGGAGAAAAACCAAAGTTAGACCTAGCGTATGATCAAGCGAATGTCTGATGGCATTGTCAAAAAAAGGTAATAGCCGTCACTTGGAGGGGTGCCATTGTGGGAACACAGAAACCCCGGTGATACAGATCGTCTATCCCTCTCTTATCCTAGCTGAAATTTACTTCTGAAATTGATCAGTTCTGAAAGTTTTTCAAGAAGAAGGGCATTCAAGTTGTATCCTTGCGAGCAGAAGGATCTCAAGGGTAAATGTTGTCCAACCTTCATCAAGTGGATGATTCTATCTGCAGCCTTCCACACAGGCACAAAAAGTGAGCGTAGTTCCTGGAGGTGTGAAGCATACAATGAGTGGATCGTTTGACATTAACCGATGATATGTTATGTTTGTTCGCTTGACCGTTGCCAGACGCACAAAACTCTTTTCTCATCCAACGTCAGTCAGCAAGCAATCCCTTCCTGATGACGCATTTTTATGACGCGGTTGATGGTTTTACTAGGTCAATGGCACCTTAATGTCAAGTTATTGTTGCGAATTCAACCAGTTCTCTACCAGCGCCAGGAACGGAGGGCCTTCTCGAACGTGATGCATCACCATGTCGTTACCAATCACCAGAATTGAACCACTTGATTCTGGAAGGCACATTCTACCGCCACATAATGTACCTTCTCCCAATTCTACCCATCAAATTTGATGGAGAACTAGCTTCTGTTTCACCATTTGCACTGGGTCAGTCTGGATTTGTGGAGCAGACTACTCAGAATCACATCCATCAGGTTCAGCCTAAATTTGATGGGAATGCGAAACAACATGAGAGCGGTAGACAGCACAATAAAAGGTGCCTTACTGATGGATATGAGCAAATCCCCACAAGTCGCTTCAGTCACTCAAGAAGCTTAAATGCGTAGAAGAGCTTCAAGGACCGAAGCCTAGACTGAATGAAAACTGGACCCTCTTCCAACCACGTAGGGGTTCTACCACACCCCCGGGACTCCGTGCCTCAACTGAGGTGCGGAGATGACTTGTGAATGGCAGAAAGAAACATTTATGAGTTATTTTTCCAACTACCCATTCATTCCATGAAGGCGTGGGTGCGTCATGATTGGTGTGACCTTGAGTGTTGTTTTTTGAATAATCACTTTCAAGTGAGCTAATCCTGTCACCTTGACTGTAAATAGTCAATGTCAGCCGGTTTCACAATCCACTGAGTCAAGATATGAAGTAAACACTGTGAAAGAATTTCTTCTGGAGATTTTGGAAGAAGTCTAGCATTGTTCTCTGTTCTCCCCTCTCCCTCATGGCGTGCCATGCATTCGAGTAGGTATCCGACTTCAGGTTGCCCCACGAAGCAGTAATGGACAATAAATACTCTGCTAATAGCTTTGTTTTGGCTCCTTATTTTCACCCAGCTGCCAAATGAGGAGGTAATCCAAGTCTCCTTTTATGTCCTTTACTCAAGTGAATTATTTCCAATGCTCCGATATTTCTGAAACTGTGGCGCGTACTCCACGTCTGCCTTAATGTCGCAGGAAGCCACACCGGTATGGAAGATGACCTATTATTAAAGAACAGAAGAGTCGGCAGTCTTACAGGGAAGATCGGTGACGCGAAGACTGAAGGATTCGCACAGTGGGGCACTAAATCAAACAGAGAGCAGCTCCGTTAAAGTATCCTTTCGAAAAAAAAACTTACCTCCATCATTCTAGGGGCAATTTTAAATGAAGGCATCTGACGTCAGCGCAGGTCTTTCACGTGGTCAGCACGTTCCCTATGATTAATGCCTTCGTAGGTATTGCTTGTATAGATTGTTGAAGTAATAACACTCCTCGCACCTAAGCATGTGCAATAGCTTCCCATGTGTTTGTCTACGTGTGTGAATCACAACCAAGTGACGTCAAATCCTTGCAGTATTTGACACAACATTCGAATTTTGAAGCAGATTTATTAGTAGTGCACAGAAGGACTGGAATTATGGCAGTAGAGGTGGAATGTAGGGGGTGAACCGGGGGAAAGCGGGATGGTTCGTGTAGTCGAGTATAGGACTGCAAATTGTTATTACCTTACATGGTACTTCTCCATCCTGGGCATCGTCCATGGTGCTCTCCCTGGTTCCACTACCACAGCGGCCGTTACACAGTGGTCCAGTATTTTCTAATCACCCTTGAGAGAGGACTGAAGGGGACCTTACTTTTTGTTGACGATAAACTTCCAAATACAAGGTAATCCCGATCGTGAATTGTGTTGTTAGAGGATTTAGTTGCCATGCACTGCTAAATGTTTCATGCAAATATCTTCCTACACGTCTTCCATGAGTGGACCCTAAGCCTCTATCTTCCTTGTCCTTTCTAAAAACCATCATTCCTTGGACGATCATGATTATTTTGAACCTGTTTCCGCCTTAATACTGACCAGCGTAGTTTCACTAGCCCTTGAACATTCATCCATCCATTCCAACTAGTGTTCTCCCGATATTTTGACATAGTGTTCCATAGAGGATATCAAATTGTTGTTCATGTGATGTGCTTTTGCTGACGTTTTCGTTAACAGCACCTGAGATTTCAAGATGTAGCCCCATTCCAAATGTGAAGTTTTGAGGATCTACTAATAGAATGAGTGAGACATGAGCAAAGCTACATGCCTCTGTGGCGTAGAAATTGAATTTCGATCGACTGAAACAGTTCATTTAATGTATTGCTTACTTAAAAGACTTATAGTCCCATTATAAACGAACAATCGCAAGACAATAAGATTTCTTATTATGCCTTCGGTTTCGGTGGAAATTCAGTCTACTAACCAAATGTGAGCAATATCACCTTAACCACAGTTTCAAAATGACCTAAAAAATGTCTCCTTCATCAAATGAAAGTAAAATACTCAAGCCAAAAGTGGTACAAAAATGGAGGTTGCTCTTTAGGTGCTTTATCAACTTCTGGCCTCATTACTAGCCCTTCATTTTCGACTTCTCATTGGGTGTAAACAGTTTAGCTTCACCATTGTCAATATTGGTGTTCTCATCTTTACCATCTTATGTCCACTTCTAATTTTCCGTGGTGCCTCCACCCCTTTTCACTTGCCAGAGGGCTGCTACATTATAGACGGGTACACTCTCCTAAGGGGTCTGCGAAACTCCGAATCGATGCTCCCCATTCCCTTTTCACTCTCGTCCTACTCTAATCAGTATTAGAACGCACGTAAGGAAGCGCTGTGGAACCGATACAAAATGACAGGGAAAGGAAATTGACAAGAGCGTATCCGAACTGCTAATCAATTTGTGTTTTGTCCTCTGAGGTGGTTTGGCCACTTAGGGCTAAATCATATGCATCCACAAGATCTCGATCTCAGGTCCGCCATTTCCCTGCCTCCTTCTTGATGAAGACTTGATTTGACCAGTCCATGGATTTCGAGATGGAATACAACCTTCTATTTACTAAATTGCTAGTCCCTATTGTTTCGCTAGAAGCACTTCCTACACTCATTCAGGCAGCGAGCAGCCCCATTAGCTGGAATGATCTTCTGATGCTATAGTGATGCTTATCGTTAGAGGTCTGGGAGGAGATTAAGTAGATTTTTAGCGGTAACTAGTAAAAAGCCACTTATTGTAATGGATAAGGCAATTAAGCAAAGAAAGACACTGCCTTACTGACGCAATAATATAGTGATTATCAAGAAATAGAAGATAGCCTTTTGGGTTTCCCAGTTTATTTACACGAAGGGGTTATTGTAAGCCAAAATTTAGCAGGCAAGTTATTAGAAATGTAAGATTTTGAAAAAATAGTCAAACAACCAACATTTGGCAGTTCATCAAAAAAATCCTTTAAATTGTTTGAACTATTGCATTCTAGTCGGTACATCCCGTTACCGTACACCGCGCCTTTTCCGAATGCCGTGCTTGCGGCTAGCTCCCACTTCGTCCTTAAAACCAGGTTGAACCCGATTTGTGAAGCAGGCAAACTGGATTTGTAGTTAACGGGATCAAAGGGCCTGCAGTGCAGATGTGTAACAACGTGAAAATGGCAAAAAAGCTACTGCATACCTCATTCACTGACTGACGCTTCAATGTCCTTCTTAAGGCATGTGTATAACCAATCGTGGGGGCACACCGAAAGTTGTAAAACTTTTTGTCACTTAATTCGCGCACCTCCGAGATATCACTGTGAAATTCTTGTGACTGACGTCTTTCACGAAGTCAAGGGACATATGAAACTGGTACTCAGCAAGCCAAATTGTAAAATTGAAATTCCTTTCAATTCTTAATTCGCTTTCCTTGAAGTGAGAATTGGCTAGTTACACGATGGGTACAAGGACAATTCCATTAAGTGGTCCGAAATCCCCAAACCCGGGAAAGTGGCGACCGTATGATCATCAGTTGGTGAATTAGGAGGCAGACCATTTACCTTCTAACAATTCTAATTACTTGCTGTTATTATCGGCAGCACCTATGACAACTCTTCAGTGCATTTGCAACCGAAGACACCGGACCACACCCGCCGTAGGCGGGTGATTGATTATTATTAGCGCTCAGTTATAATTCTCTCGTTTTCTACTCGTTCAGTGGGTACCCTGATAATTTGTGCAGTGAAACAAGTCCGGCTACCCGGCACTTCCACCGCCCACTTTGAAGATTTGGCCGATCAAGTCTCGTCGTCAATCCCACTTAGTTCATGCCATATCCCCGGATTTCTTTTCGGCTAAAGGCGTCTGCATAATCAGTTTATTTGTGATCGCAGTATCAGAGTGGTCCGACGAAGTAGAAATCTCATATCACCCTGCAAAAGTGCCTCATAATCAGTTAGGCAGTCAAATTTTAACAGATTGCGCCTCAGCAGCTCCTGTTCCCGGCGTTATTTACAATGAATGGAGGAAGCTTTAACAAGGAGCCTCGAGTCGTGCCTATTAGCAATTCTTCAGCGGACTTTAGTTTTCCCTTGATCATCCATCCCCATCCACGGGCAAAACAAATTAGATCCAAATCAAAGGGAAGCGCCAATGGTTAGAGTCTTAATCGGGTTTATTATCCAGTTTAATGTGCCTCTCTCACTATAAAATACCTAAATATACTGCGTACGAGCGGAAAAAGTCGCTTATGGAACCGGCATACTACTTTCGGCTTCACAAAACCTCCGCGTCGGGATGACCCATTCGTGCCTAAAACCAACATAAAAGCGTTCATCAGTGGAATGAAGAAAGATCGCTCTCATGGTACAGCTTAACCTGATAATAGTTAAAACGGTTTTTTCCCCACCGTAATTACAATTTATGTTCTTTGAACAATTTTTCAAATGGTGAAAACTAAACAAATTTAGCGTTTAGTGTAGACCTAAGGTTAAAGTAACTGATGATGTGACCCCTTGATGCGCGGTTAGGACGAGATGCTACATAGCAGGGCTTTAGTATGCAATGTTCCAATAGCAAAAGGCTATTTTTTCTTCGAGATGGATCAAAGCATGCTCTATCGTGTATTTGCGGGCTTCTAAAACACAAAAGCAAAAAACTCACACTGCGAAACGCGGCAACACAACGGACGAATGACTCGACCTCTTTGGAACAGTTTAATGAGCGTTGTCCATTACTCTTGTAGCAGTCCACCACCTGCTTCTGCGCATCCACACAACACGCCACAGGAGTGTGTTTTCTCAATAAAAAAAGTCCCTTTTTATTATCAGAGAAAAAAGTATCAATTAGAAGCCATTAAAGTAACGTACAAATATTTGGCAGAAAGACGATCAACAACTCTAGTATACTCCTCCTCTGCAGTCTTAAGATATTTGTCATTCTAGGAAAAAGGAAAATAGGGCTGGCATTTTGTGCTTCAAAGTTCTGGAATTGTACGAGGCAAACATACCCGCTCCTCAAATTTCCTGAGAAGAGCTTCGTACTTGCGTTCGGCCTCGTCACGCGAATGAGTGAGATACTGAGAAGCAACTGCGACAGTGTTGACTGACGCTTCGGAGGGTAACTCTTCTAAAAGATGGTGAAACGGGATTTATTCGGCATATAAAAGCCATGAATAAGAGAGTGGAGAATTAGAGACAAACCTTTGGTATGCACTTGCGGTGGGGGAGAAGAACGGGTGGGAGTAGGAGCAGTGGTTTTAGGAGAGACCTCGTCTGAATGCTGGTGTCGTAAACGCTCAACTACATCGTCTGAAACCTACACGGAGAGGATAGAAACGGTGACAAAATTTAAAAAGCTTGTCAGAAATCAAAAACTGGCCCCAAAATTAGCCAAATTAAACAGCACTTAAATGAACAAAGGAATGAAAATTGGGCTGAGACTTACGAGAATGTCAGACCGACTAAAGGTGACATCGTGTGGTGGTGTGGTTCCAAAGACAGAACCCATTAGGACCTAGGTTACAAGGGAGCATCCTAGCAGAAACCTAACGCAATTTTGCGGGAAATGAAACGCACGAATGCTACTATGCACACAAATTAATCAATAACACAAGAACGTAATGATGCGCAGAAAACTTTTCAGTGAAATAATCAAAAATAGGAAGCCGACAACCGCCAATTTAGTAATATTGTTGGAAAAAAGGGCAACTACAAGCACAAAAGGCAATCATACCAACAAACGGACAGGTGATGAGGACAACAAAGCGGTAAAACACAAACTGCTCAACTGCACACCAGCACCCGTTTAGGCTCCGGACCAACACCACAGTTAGAAAAAAAGCTTCTTCAAAAACAACATTTCTGTTTAATTAAAAGCCTTTTCGAAAGGCATAAAATGACTACTGCTGGCTAATGTCTAGGTAAAAAGTTTATTTCTGCCTGAATTAATACTTAGACTGTTACACTGCCAAATAATTCCCATTCCAGTATATAAGTGAATATCAAAAAAAAACGGACATGCAGTTTCAAATAAGTGTTTTCGATTGCTTTCATATGGCCCCAAGGGACGTAAATTACTCTCTTTTGAATTAAACTTCTTTGAGTAATTGATTTGGTTTTTTTTATTTTACTGACGTTTTATTGACTTTTGTTTGACGGAACAAATTGTTACCTGAAGATTTATTTTGGCCGAATTTTATCGTAATGTTACACTTAGGACTGCCTGTAGTTGGACATTTAAATAATTTTTGGCATTTGGTACTGGTATGCTTTCACCGATTTCGTAAGAGCTTATTAAACATTCATATTTGTAGTTTATTTTTTTGTGTTCCTATTGACGCGTTAGCTTTGAATGTGGTTGGTGCCCGGTCTGTCATTGATTTTCCGAGCATGACTCCTGGTCCGGTTATTTCACGTTAACCCACTTCCCTCAAAAATGGTGTCAAAGAAGGCGGGTCGGCAGATCCCCTTCATAAGCGGGTCTCATCACATGACTTGGCGTGAATTAGTCGAAGCAGATGATTATGCCACAAGCCTAACTGTTGATCCCTTCTTAGGTTTCAAAACACATAAAATGACGGGGTAAGCTCATATTCTTAAGTACCTCACCATGTAGAATGCGCCTTCGAATAGCTCCTCGTGTGACGGGTCGTCTAAAGAATATTATCACTGCCTTCCAGCAGCACAAGGATTATCAATTAACATTTAAACAGCTTATCAGTGAGGATGTTAGCATTAAGCAGCATTGGAAAAACGATCTTCGCTTCCGTGATCATGTAGGCAAGTAGTTCTGCACCTGAGTTGTAGATTTTCCGGTATCTTTTATTATTTGACGATCGTTCTGGGATTAAAATTGTCCCATGCAGTCGCTATGCCTCTGAGGGTCACATTGGAGGGGCAATTCTTTCGACTAAAAGTTGGCCAAAAGGCTCGAGAATAGATTCTCTTATTGGATGTATTGCTGAGCTTAACTATGAGGACGAGGTGTCTTTCCTCCGGCACAAAGAGAACGACTTTTCTGTGATGTACTCCTCTAGGAAAAACAAATCTCAGTTATGGCTGGGTCCCGCCGCTTACGTGAATCACGACTGCCGGCCAAATTGCGCCGTAAGTAGTTTTTGAAGTTTGTACCTTCTTTCATATGCGTTATATGGTGTGCATCTTGTTTGCTAACATCGGGTTTTGCACATTTATGATATGCTCATACTATTTTAGGCCCTGAATTTTTTATGACTGTGTTTATTGTTAGTTTTGTGTTGGCTTCTATCAAATTCATAAAATAAAGGTTATTAAGGTCTGTCCTGGTGTACTCACAATTGTATTGCCGAAGTTACCCTGTAAGGGTGTCACTCACGTAAATAACTTCAACACATATTTTGAATATGACACGTTTCAAACTCCAAAAGTCTGGACCGCAAATCATGAATCATATCTGAAAAAATTGGTTGCACAAGAAAGCTTCGGAAGTCTGGTGCAAAAAATTGTTTCCGGAATATTTATTCGCTAATCTTGCGACCGTAATATACCCTTTCGACTCCCTGTTTTTGCATTGTCTCGAAGGCTGTTTCGGAACCTCTTATGTACGATCTCCCCTTGACGATAGTGATTGATTGTTATCATACCGTTCCCATACTTCTGTCTATGAAGCAGTTACTATCAGAAGCACAGACGTCTATCGAGGCCACGCTGTCGTCCCTCCGTCCCGAGGGATCCATCTTTCACCTATTCGTCCTGGATCCATTCATCTACTCCTTCCATCCTTCCAGTTCACTATCAACTGCGATGGCGACGATCGGATGAGCCTCACTGCCACCACAGATATTAAAAGTGGAGATGAGATATACATCTACTACGGTAAACACTTCTTCGACACCAATAACGCCAGCTGCGAATGTTTCACATGTGAACTCCTCGAGAGGGGTTCTTTTTCCACCGGGCGTGTGGGTCCAATCACAGCAGCACCTGCATCTGCAGCAGCTCCGTTCTCTTCAGCAGAGTACCTCAGTTCATCCACAACGTCGTCGACGTATTCGTTATCGCTGCCTTCCTCTCGGGGTGGGAAGAAATCGGCCTGCGCACTGCAGGAAGACGGGCTAGTGGCTGCCATCAAGGAGCGCCTTAGACGGGGTAAGTTTTCAAACCACTTTATTGGGCTGTTGCCCCATCTAATTCCATCGCCAAAAAGCGTACGATTCCGAAAGTAGCTTTGCTATAAACGTGGAAAGGTCTGGGAGATGGTTAGTAACCTGTCATCCGTTGGCGACGGTGCGAATAATGTAAATACGAAGGGGGGAGTTCAAATCAGGCCTAAACTTTCGAAGTGCTGAAACAAGAGTTCAATTTTTGGGGGTGATAACTTTACTTTCCCTTATATACCCTGCTACCACACTCACACCCATTCTCGCAGTATTAGATTTGTGCTTTTAAAGTATCTTCAGCCTAGACACATTTGTTCGCACGGCTGAACAATCCTAGGTCACTCCGTCTATTTCACTTCGTCACCACTGCTTAAGTGGGGCTGTCTTGTTACGCAGAGTGAAAATGCTCATGCAATTTAGTGTTTTGTTTTACCATTACCATTGGAAAATTCGTCTCATGCAATTTCACGACTACATGCAGCTTCGATTGTGCGAATGCGAATGAGTCGTTCCACATACTACATTAAGCGCTTATAAGAATGGTAAGCTGTCGAGGCTGTGAACTGGAATTAACCCCATTAAGGTCAGCATCGTCACTAGCATAAAGTTGTGCGGTTGGCCATCTCTAAGACCCCGACACCTTTTTAACCAACAAAGTGTTGTGCGGTTGAGTGGCCGCGCGTGGCGTCACCGTACGGCACTGACCTTGGAGTCTCCTTTGGGTGCCACTGGACATCTGCAGGCTCATTGACAAGAGACTTTGTTTATCTCTACGCCTCGTTTCACCCTCAAAAGCACCAGTCCTGTTCACCATAGGTTGGACTGTGCACGTGTGTACCGACTGGCATGAGTAGTAATAGGCCAGAGTGGTCCTTCAAGCTTACAGAAGTTGCAGGGTCACAGTTCCTGTTTGGCCTCAATGCCCCTCGCTATTATTCTGCGGAGCCCCCCTTTTTTATCTTTTAAACGTCGCTCTTGGGACGCCCCAGGATCTCTTTTATGCAACAGTCTCATGATTTGATAATTTTTATTGATGCGAGCTTTGCGAAATCCCCCAATGGTCTTGGATGAGGCTGGAGATTGTTCCCACCCAGCATATTTCATAGAATGGTCCCTCTAATGGTGGAACTACTCCCTCTTACCCTCTATTTTCCAAGTTTTACCATTTTCATGCTGTCCAGTCATCTATTCGAACTATCCCCAGCTTCTCACAACCTGGGGACGTACAATATTCACTTTTTGAATATTTACGAATATTAAAGTCAGTCGACAAATTTGAGTGGGTTTGCCAACACTCATCAGTATAGAACCTAAAGTCATCATAATGTATATGAGTCTGGTGGTAGCTCTCCCATCTATGTACATAGAGGCTGTGACACTAGTTGTCTAGATGACATGAACATAGTTGGCCTATTTGTGATCTACTTTAAAATCATGAGGAAGAAGTCTAATTTCTCAAATTGTTTACCGATGCACTATGCCCCCATCCGTCACACCGCCGAAAGACTGGCTAGTAGTATGAAGCTAATTGCGTTGCTGTGTTAATTCCTCGCTGAAATGAATTCTTCACCTACCCGTAAAATGGCCAATCCAAACTTCATAATTTTAAATCAAAATTTGCGTTTGGGACGCTATGAACGAATAACCTTTAAAGAACGATGTCAATGGGATGTTAAATCCCACATGTGTTCAGGAAAAAAAAATTGGTCAATTTTGCCCACAGATAGGTAAAAGCTTTCTCATTATGCAGATTCGTCAGCCTTTGAACCTTAGCCATAAAGGCAGTTTCTAGAAAGTGTGCGTACGGCGAGCCGGTCGTGTTAAACTCATTATTCTGAACTCCCTCGACGACGCTAACTTTGCGTCTTCCACAATTTTGTAGCTAATGTCAATTCAACTCTCCTCAGTGTCATACTTTTTTTCTTCGAAGTACAGAATTCTGTCCAGAAGTTGTCAGAATGCGCCATTTTGATTTGTGCTATACAAGATAATCTTCCTTCTGGCTGTCAGATAGGTTGTTGGCTATTGTCACGCAAAAGATGTTCCTTTCCTGTTGGCAAGCAATTCCTCCCATAAACCTTTTTCCCACTGTAGCTGTTGCATAATATTGTGGATTGTCGCCATTTTCAAGCAAAAGATTTTCCCATTTCCTGTTTTGATGCCGAAATCGCCTACTCATTACTGATCTTTTGATTTATTTCGATAGATTTGTGATTGCCCTATCTTGTAAGCAATTCTGCATTATATATGCCCCTCGTGGCCGTAATTGCAGACTTTTTTTCCTTACCCCACAGCTCCACTTGCTCACCGCACTGCACTCCCCAACCTTCGCAATCGAAGCACTGCAGTGACTACCGCCCCATCGACATCTGCACCCACATGTGCCGCGATAGCCGAGCCGACAGCAGCGGCCGCGATGAGCGGTCTCCTTGTGAAGGGTCTTTCCACGGGTCTGGCACGGAATGTCGTCAACACTGCTGTCTACAGTCTACGCCACACTAATTCGCGGCTGACCCGTGTGAAAGCGAAAATCTACTCGGCGATGCTTTCATCTCTCAACCAGTCACCACCCCAGCAGCAGCAAGGGGGGGAAGATCAGTCTCAATCAAGTCACCAGACTTTCCAAGAGGGCATTGTTTTGAGACCTAGAAAATCGGCACCCCTTGCTACTTCCACTGGGGTAGCATCCTCTACCCAGACTAAAATGGCCTTGGGAGGCAGGATGAATAGCCGTACTGTGATGCAACCTGGGCGAATCGATGTGGTGAAGAGACGGCGATGCCTGCAGAGAGGCACTTCGACAACGGCAGTGCCAGTGGCGGTGCCGACTAACAAAGTGGAGCCTTCTCTCCACAGTATGTTGTTGCAGTCATTAGTCATTTCCTATGGCCTCGGTTGGCCGTTCAGAATGGTTCTTTTCTAAATAGGCGCTGAAGCGCTACCAGATGTTTGAATAACTTTTAACTATCGGCAAATTAAAAGGGCTTTTGCACTTTTTAGTAACTTGTTGAAACTTGTAGGGTCTCGTCACACTCATACAACACAGATGTGTCAATCCATCGATGCTCTCTGCCCTATTCTACATTATACAGTTATTTTAAATTCCTCATTCAACAAATATCTGTTGAAACTGATGAACTTGATCCCTTGTCTGTTTTCCGCATCGAAATCAAGTTACACACCTTCAGAAGCCTCACGTAAACCTGAAAGAACAGTAAAAAGTGATGTCTCTAAATGTAAACAATTAAGTGGTGGTGAATCACCAGAGGGTGATGTATCACTTTAGGGAAGAATGACGTATCACCAGCACTCGACTTGGTGAAGGCTAAACATCAATCACAGTCAAGATCTTGAAGTTGTATACTAAAAAAGTCACCTTGAGAAGCAGCCGGAAAACGCGAGACTGGCGAGCCAGTCAGAAAGCAGAAAGACGTTTGAATGTTCCCAAAGCCCTTAAGTTCTTAAACAGATAGTCTTCATCGTCATGCATCTAACTCAAGCATTTAGCACTTCTCATTTGTACACATTCGATGCGAATTTTAGCACCAACAAAGGAGTAAGCACCGCTAAATTGGAAGCTCTTTTAGGTAAATCACACTTTTTCGGCAATACTTACTCTAGATGCTATTGTGCTTTTTATTAGCATGGAAATGGAAGAAAAGCAAACTTTATAGCTAGTTTGATCGTTCTGTGGCCTTTTTTTTCCCATCCATCTATCAACGCTTTCAGATCCCCCGATACCACTTCGTCTTTCTCACATACCTTTGCCTCCTCCTGCTCCCTCCTCCCCCTCCTCGTCATCCACGTCGACCATCGCTGCAACAGAAGCCGACGAGGCTCTCGCAGTGCAGATGCCACCTCGAAGCCGATCTCGTCTCAAAACCCGTCGATTTAGAACTGTCTCCACTACCACCACTTCCGCTCCCTCTACCTACTTTCTCCGTCGCTCCGCCTGCCCTAAACCACCAGCCGAGCCCATGCTCATCGACCTGTCGGTGGAATCAACCTCCACTTGTTCCTCCCTCAGCACTTGTCCCGCCGTCTCTGCTACTCCTCGGCTCGTTATCGTTCGTAAGCAGTCTCGTCAAGAGGAGGTAGAAGGGGCACAGGACATGTGGTTTGTCAAAGACTGCGACGACAGTGACGGTAATGGTGATATAACGGAGCACAAACCAACCCCCACTCCACCCATCCTTCATACCTCTGGGGGAGGTGGACGAGGATGGACGACTTCGGCCTCCTCTGTGGTCAACACCCCTTCTCCACCCCACCTGCAAGCTGTTTCGCCCACTCCACCGATACTACAACGCGCGGAGGACCGAATGCTTTTCTCCTTCTATGGGTCCACTGCGGCGAGTGCAGCCCCGGCTCTGGACTCCGACGGGGTCTCAGACAGCGGAAGCTCGCCGGGTACGGCGAAACCGTTGACAGTAAGGATTAAGCGGATGGGACGGAGACTGTACTGTGTGCCGCCAGAGTCGGCTACAATCAGTCGGCAGCGAGATACTATTTGAATGTGGATACTATTATTTGTACATGATGTGAAAATGCAGATCTTATTGATGTCTAGGATTCTTCTTGTTTAAAATATGAATAATGTGAGATATGCTTGTATTTGAATTTTTTTAGGAGGAGCAGTAGAGGGTTTTAATGGTAGTTTTAGTCACTTCGATTTTGACTTATTTGATTTAAGTGGAGCGGTCGTTAACACTCCCTATTTTGCCTACCCGAGTCTTCGCTTCACTTCCGGATCACTTTTAATGCACAGGACACCAATTAGATGAGAAAAACGGAACAGGATGGGAACACCTAATATTGTATGAGGACCACAAAAAATCTGGTCTGTAGAAGTCGGTTTTGCAGAACTTATCAGTTTGCCAGGGTCAAAGATTTGGGTCTTTTTTGACGTGTCTGGTTCATACAAATTAAAATCTGAGAGAACGAGTAATTCAAAGTTGTCAGAACGGCTTTATCACGTTGTTTTTCGAGAAATTGAACTTGCCTCTCTTAAAGGACATCAGTCCTGATTTCTACTGCCGGGTGGTAGACGTCGGCGGGGCGGAAGAAGCACATATGCGACGAATAGGAGGATCGGCTATGATCCCCAACAGAAGGGGTGTGAATGCCGTCTATCTTCGGCAACTACGCCAGTCCCGTGTTCTGCAGGAAAGCCACTAACAGCTGAAGCGACATTGGCCGTGAATCATCTGGAAGTTTCGTCATAGAGTTTCCCCACCCTACCTACATAAAGCTGCCAATAAAGTGAACTCGCAATACCTCCACCATTTTCCTACTAGCTGGATATGGCCCGAACAAATGTGGCTGGGCAGTTTCGAAGTGGAATCAATGTGGCAAGGAGAAACAGACACGAAACCCATCCCTTGCGGACATGCCAGTGCTCCTACCTCTATCTGTGGACGCTCCCATGATGGTCAGCACAATCCCCCGTTCCTGAATCAATTTGCCAACCCGGACGATATTCCGGATCCATTTGAACAGCTGAGGGGAATCAGCGACGTTGGGGTCAAGTATCTCCCCAGTTGCAGTGAAATTTGATGACTAATGCGATGGGCTCGTGGTTGTTCCTTTACGGCACCGTCCTCGCCGTGATGGCTGACGCTGAAGATTAACCAGGGAGATCGCCAAGAATGACGCTAAAAAGAGGAGAGGGGCTGTGTAATGCGTTGGCGGTTCATATAACAGTCAGTTTTGGTAAATGGCCACTTTGTCATGGCCATTGTACCTCGACGGGTGGGCTAGCTTTCGAACCAATTCAGTAGCCCTAATACCCTCCGCCGATTATACAATAATAACGATGTAATTTTACTTAATCCTGCCTAATATGGAGCGAAACGATCTCACCCTGCATTAAAGCGCCTTTTTCACGCCTACAGCTCCCCTATTCGAATTGCATCGAGTAACCAAAAAATCAAGCTCTTTGTAAATTTCAAGTTTGAGCTTTTCGTTGTTCACTACAAGTACACGGTTCGCGCAATTTTTGTTATATTTTCAAAAACCATTCGTTGGAGTCAAATATGATGCCTAGTAATTGAAGTAATTCAAAAATCTACATGGTGCTAAAACTGCTCCACGCTAAATATAGCAAAGCCACAACACCGTGTAGAAGAATTATTCTGCAATACAATATTGCACTTTTCCTTTCTTGTAAAGTCTAAATAACTGGAAGATGTATAATACCATGGTATTTAACAGACTTCCAGCTGAGGTAATAACCAATAGGAGGGCGGAACCGCTGTGACTTCGTCCACCGTGTATTTAGCCCGGGCTGTGCGAAATGTTCAGGAATCAGTACGATCATGACGTATCAGTTTGGAGTCCTCAGGGGCGTATTCATCAAATTGAGTACGCTATGGAAGCTGTGAAACAGGGTTCTGCTGCGGTTGCTTTGAAAAATAGGGACTGCTGCGTCATTGTCGCACTTAAAAGAGCTCCCTCTGAACTGTCATCCTATCAAGAAAAGTTGATTCCCATTGATTCTCACATTGGAATGGCTATAACTGGCCTCACTGCCGACGGCTTTCTTCTTGCCAGGTACATGCGTCGTGAATGTGCGGACAATCGGTGGGCTTATAACGAGCCTTTGCCCGTTTCTCGTTTGCTGAGTAAGATATCCCTGAAAATGCAAGTTCCCACTCAGCAGTATGGTCGGAGGCCTTTTGGTGTTGGCATGCTTATCACTGGTTTTGACGAGAAGGGTCCGCATGTTTATTACCTGGTATGTGTATTCTCTTGAGTTGATTACAATGATTTCCAGTGTCCATCCTCGAACGCTTACGATTGTAAGGCCTTTGCTGTTGGTTCACGTTCACAGTCGGCTAGAACCTATTTAGAACGTCATCTTGATAAGTTTCCAGATAGCACCCTTGAAGAACTCATTGTTCACGGTCTAAAAGCTCTCAAAGGGTGTCTTCCTGCTGAGACAGAACTTAACGGAAAGGTATGGCGCTCTCATAACTCGAAATTTTTAAGACACATATAATTTGTGCATCTTTGTCATGAGTACAACCGTCAGTTTTCAGCTATCAACATTACCACCTGCTGTTACTCTTGAGGTGGCACCCTTTACGTCGTACTTTTGTATTTACAACCCTCCTTTTGTAAAGGGAACTATTTATCTCATTTTTTTCACTTAGAATTGCGCCTTGGCAGTTGTTGGCAAGGGTCGAGATTTTTCAATATACTCGCAGGAGAGTATCGAGCCTCTGTTGTCTCGAACTTCAGATACTCCTTCACAGGAATCGGAAGCCGCCGCACCCGACCAAACTTGTGAACCAGTCCCTATGGACGAAGAGTGAATTCTCCTTTTCGACACCACTTTGTTCTGCATCAGCGTCTTTTCGCTGTTTCATTTGAATACATTTTTCATATCAACTCATTCCTTTTATCTTGGAATGCGGTGGTGTTCATCGTTTAGTATTAGGGTCCCCTTAATCTGTATTTTTTTTGCTAATAGACCTGCAACACGTAGGTTATGATGTGGATAAGTAGAAGGTTGTGGCAAATATCCTCTTATTGCGCTTAATGCCATTTGAGTAGTTTGTTTGATCACTCGCATTTTCAAGGCTTACGTGACGAGCACGCAGTTGTACAATTGGCGGTTCACACCGGATGAGTTGGCTAACCAGCGCCAGGAGTGCAATGCAGCCGTGAGGAGACGTCTCTCAGCGCAGTATCGGGCGAAAGTGGAGGTCAAGGGCGGTGACGTCCCAGCAGAACCGACTTTCCTCACTGCCGAGGAGGAATTCATCATCGTGAAACGCTACATCTTCGCTATGAAGGAACTCTTTCATCAATTTTCAGATTCTGGACTGCCTGTTGATGTGAGTCAGTCCCGATAAAATCATAAAATCACTCATCTACCGTATGAAGTATTTACGTACGTAGGATCCATGAAGCTACTTTGCGTGCAGATCTTGTGACCAAGTCCTGGTTGTAGACGTCGTGGCTGTGACGAGGAGCCGGATGTAGCCTTTAGTCATGGCTTGCAAAAGTTCTCCAAAGTCAAAAAAGTTTTCTTTATGTATTTGATTTACGAAGTAGATAAATGAAGTCCCTGTATCCAGGACGCAGGCAGGGTTCTATTCATGTGGTAGTGTTATAAGCGTACTGTCGAAAATCCCAATTCCTGACTCGGAATTATTGCACAGGAACGAAGGGATATGAGAAGGATCCCTTCATCATATTAATCACGGAAAAAATGCTTTATTGGGTGACGTTTTTTGTAAATTTGATCGTCTTTGCAATTTTTGAGATCAAATACTAAGCACACTTTTCCCGATCTATCCGAGAGCTTTACTGTTTATTCGTCACCACCATAAGTATCCTTAAATTTGTACATCAGAACGACAAAGACAGGTAGAGAAGAGTGATGGACGCCTTTCAAACTCGGAGGTGCTAAAATACGCTTGCTTGTTAGGTCTTCGGATTTGCGGCGACCTACCTGAAGCGATTCTACCTCAATAACTCTGTGATGGATTACTTTCCGCGTGAGATGATGCTTACCGCGCTCTACCTCGCTTGTAAAGCGGCCGACTATCCTCTCGGTCTGCAGACCTTTGCCGCCCACATTCCGCGCAACCGCGAGCACTATAGCGAAATCGTTGTCCACTCAGAGCTCTTTCTCATGGAGAAGCTACAGTACGATATTTGGATCCACACACCGTATCGTCCACTAAGCGGCCTACTGGTGGACCTCCTCGCCTATCGTAAGACTCAGCTAGGCGAACCGATGAAGATAGAAGCGGGGGAGGTGGCGACTGCCGATATGATGACCAGCTTGAAGAAGGAAGGCTACGAGATTATTCACAAGTGGTTCCAGACAGATCTATGTCTCACTCACTCACCCAGTCAGTTTGCGCTTGCGGTGCTTCTGGAATTGGGTCAAAAACATCCGGATTTGGGGGTGGAGGAATTCGTGAAGAACTCTGTGTGTGAGTACGATTCCTCTGACGAGTCGATGGAGCAGAAATGGACGGCATTGAATGAGAAGATGGAGCAGATTCAAGCAATGATTGGGGAGTTTGAGTTCCTTTCGGATCTCACCTATGGCAGTGCTTTGGAAGCAGTGTTGATGCAGTGCCGGAATCCCCTCTATGATCCTCTCTCAGAGGAGTATGCGGCCGCCAAGGAACAGGCGGAGAAGCTTATGTCTTTTTTGGATTAAAAAAAACCGTATAAAAGGTTGCGTATGTTGTGTTGTTGGTATTTGTATATCATGCCTTGGTGCATCGATGTGTCTCGACGGATTGTTGCCTATTTATTTATGTACTTATTAAAAGTAACACGAAATTTTTGTCTACTTCACATCCCGTTACCTTGACTTTATATTACTTATCCGTTTTTTGTTAGCGTACAATCTACTGAACCTGGTCGAACGAATTGGTAGCACACTCAAATTAATGCCTCTGACAAAATGAAAACTCCCCTCATCAAAGGATCCATCAACATTACTTCTTCTTTAAAAGCATAAGGGAGCTTATTCAGAGTTCTAATTCTGGGATCTACCCAATGCAACTTTGCCAACACGGTGCCCTTCCATCAATGAGTTGCTCTCTTGTGCCCTTATACATTCTCCGTAGGAGGGGAACGCAACTTTCAAACAGTGCTGTGAGTAGCCAGAGTTGTTTGTTGATTGGATACCTCTTTATAAGCCACCGATTCTGTTGAAAATGGCCTATATTATGAGTCATGGTACCTTAAAACGGCGAGGCTGTAGGTAGCTGATCTAGCTCAGGTGGTTAGGCAAATGGCCAGCATAATTTTAATATACATGCTTAATTGAACCAAAGCTGTCGCTGAAATGATTTGGCACTTTAGCTTTTCTCCCTTTCTCATGTCAGTGACGTTTGAGCTCGGTCAGAATATTTGGTGTACGAGACGTGGTAGCGGACGCATTAGCGGTAGTTGGGATATTGTTAACCACCTTCTGAGGGGGTCTTTTCCATCGTGTGGCACCCATGCAATCGCAGTTTAACAAGAATGCTGGTGAGGCACCAACATTGTCCATTGACTGAATTCCTCTCCGTGGATTAGCGTAGATTATTGCCTAAAGGGTTCTCAGTTATGCATTGTTGACTCCACTACATTCAAGGCAGAAGGTTAGAATATGATCACATTACTTGGACAAAACATACTTGTGTATGCCTCCCAACATTTACTCATCTTATTTGATATTTAAAAACCAAGAGTTTCAATTATCTTAATTACCCCTTATAACACAAGGCAGCGGGAAACATTCATGCGTTCTTTGTGGCAAAAATTAAGTGCGAGTATTCGTCATGCTCACCATGCTTCTGGGTTTCTAAATCCACTTTTTTAACACGTTCGGATTACAGGTGCGTAAAAATTAGCCCCAGCCTTAGCCACCGCCGCCGATTCTATCTTATTTTTACATCCCAACTGTCCATCCTTCTCCCCACGTCTTCATGCTATTGTCCAATACTAATGTCAGGAAAAAGTGATGACTATCATTTGGGGAAATGCATACAGTAAAGTGCAAAGGAGGAAGATGAGGATGAGATGAGACGGTATCTCCCTCCCATCCTAAAGAACAAATATTTTGCAGACCAGTTCTGAAAGTTGAAATCTTGGACATGGTAACTTGTAAGGGTAGGACTTTCTTCTCATTGTATCTTTGGTTCATGAGTGCTTATTTACTCTAGAAAGGAAAGTCTTCTTGTACGTCCTCGTGAGCCGTACGCGGAGCTCAGTGGTAATTACGTAGCCTTCAGTAGTCAAACACGCCACAGTTGGGTGATGCAGCCTTTATAGTATGAAGTGTTATGTGCCTTGGACGTGTGAATGGAACATTTGGGGATGACTAGTGTTGTGATATTTCTCTTGACGCTGCAACCTATAAGGTGCTTCTTATCAAAAGGTAGCAGATGGTCCTTGCACGACCTTGCATTTCGGCAACATGCATGAAAGAAGCAAAGACCCCAATAATAGCCTTTGTAGCTTAATGTCGTTGGCTAGAACATAGGCTAGAGGTGCCACCCATTTGCTTATCCTCCACTGTAATTTCCTCAGTCGATTCACCATTCCACTGAAAGATGACCGCAAGGCTTTTGCAAAGCCTTATTCTTGCAATGGGTGTTTCAACCGATGGAGTGTGTCATCACCTGGCGGTTCATCGGCAGAATCTCCCAAGTTGCCAGCTCCTGTAGTTCTGCAACCGATGCAAATTTGGTTTGTACAGAAGACAAGCTCGAATTGTATACATCAGTTGCAACCAATGTTTTATGGTAATAGATTCAAAATGGTGGGAAAGCAGTAGAGAGCACAGTGAAGGGTACCGAAATGATTAGCTGGTGTTTATAAACAATAGCACATGTTAAACAAGTTTCATGTAATAAAAAGTCAATGTAGCGAACCATTAGTAACAAAACAATCGTTCTGTCACTTGTCATAATGACTTAAAGATATGCGCACTCCTTGTTTTCACATTTTGAAATCCCATGCAAGGATAATTATTGATGTTGTTTGATACATGATAGGGTTGCCTCAAAAAATTAACCGCGAGAAGTCTTCTAATTATTTGTGCAATTCAGGTCGACGTTGGTGCTCTGTTTTATAAAGTTGTCATAACGACTTGTCGGAACCGTTACATTTAACTACTAGAATCGTTCACGTTTCTCACCATTCGAAATGAGACTTCGCACAAAGTGGAAAGTTATCAGTCACTGAAAAAATATCCCTTAATGATCCACCATAAGCCAATCCAGCTGAGTGCTGACGTCATCTATGGGTAGCTCATTCTAAGGACTACCTTAATATGTGAATGAATTTGAGGTGATAGGGCTGAGACCCATTGTCATTCACTACAGAATCTGCTGAACCCGTTCTATGAGCAGCTGTAGCGTCCCGAGACTCCCTTAAGACGAAAGAAGACACAATACTCGGGCAGAATATGTATATTCAGCACGGAGAAGGTGTCTGGGCTATTGGCATGGCCCAAAAGGCCAGCCCACCCAGCGACGTACAAGGGGACTAATTCGAAGTACAAAAGTGGCGCCTCACCAGAACCGAGGGATAAACCACTATCGTATTACAGCAGCACATTAATATTGTCTTGTATACCTGACCAAGGCGTAGATGAGTGTGGCACTAAGTTGGATCGTCTCCCTGTTAGGCACACAAAAATACCAGTTGCTGTACAATGGGTAGCCCTTTGGGCACGTGATTCTGATTTTATCAATGTCCAGAAAGGTTAGATCTATTCAGAATTCTGATCCACTGCCTTGCCAACTGGGTATAAAAGTGTAGAATATAGTAAGCGGATAGTTACACGCAATTTGGGACCGGATATGTAGCAAGCATGATCTATTGCCACCCATCGTAGCCAGTCTCATATCGTGCGTGAGCCAATTTACTTTAGCTCAAGATGGCTAATAGTGATAGTGCGTTGGAATATTGATGAAAGAAGCCTCTTGTTAATGCCTGCTAGTGTCTGCGCCAGACGCCACGCACAGTACCGTGCCGTGATGTCACGTGGAACAGCTCAGTCGCACTGCATTTCATTGGTCCCAATGGCGTCAAAGTTACGGCGACGGCCAACCATTTGTTTGTACGTCAGTGACATTACCGACCGTGGTGATACTGCTTTCCGCCTACAGTCTCGGCAGCCAGCCATACCTGTAAACATTTAGCCAACGCCTTAGACGCCTAATCTGTAGTGGAAGTTGATAGGAGGTACATCTACGTGTGGAAATGGTGACTAAACTATAATCTTTCAAAAAAATTTGCTTGGGTACCCTACGATGATTCACTAGTGCTACCAAATTTTTATATTTCGCTTTTTTGTTCAAGTACTAGGTAAAGGGTGGGATGTGTATATAAACGAAGCAAGAGAAAGGGCCTAAATGCCACAAGTGCCGCATGTATAAAAAGGTAGGACCAGCTTCTTGCTGCGAATGGGGTTCCAGACATTCGACAGTGCTCTGCCTTATGACCTCCCGTGACTTCAGCTTACAAACCTGTTATTTGTGCAAACACGGACACCCATGAGTTCTCTACCGTGGTAATCAAGACACAAAACTTAGGTTAAAGGTAGTCTGGTATTGATAAGCTTGGGCACACGAGGTGTGCAATCTGGAAGTGCTCAGCTGCCAACTGGATTGGGGTGGCCACTAGTCTTCACGTATTTGTGATACCTTGGGTGATCTAGACCTGACCGTGATTTTAAGTGCAAATAGAGTATTTCGCCGCACCACACTGGTCTAGGCGGTGTGCAAACCCAAAAGGATTGTAAATCGGTAAAATGCTCTATAACAATGATTGATTGTCCAACTTCTAGTCTTGATTATGCGTGGGCTGAAGGGCTCGGCCATAGCATTTCCGCCAGGCGATATGACCTACGGCTTTATGCCAGTAGCCCTACCTCCAATTTTCCTCTACGTCAATAATACATATTCAGCCCTAGTATAATGTATTCTGCAGGCTTCAGGGAAGAGTCGTGGAAGCGGTAACCGAATTCGATCCTGAAGAACAATTACCCTAATTTCCATTTCTAAATGTTAAACGTGATGGAAGAAGGGCGTTTGCTGGCGATGAGAGAATCTGTGACGATCCGAAACAGGTGGATTGAGAATGACGTCTACTTTTCTCCACTGCCTCAGACCCGTGTTCTGTAGGAATGTTATCAATAATTGAAGCAAGGCTAGCTGTGGCTGTGAACCATGTGGAAAAGTTCGTTACGAGGCTGTCTACAGTACCTATATGACGTTGTCGATTAGGTGAATATGCGATACCTTCTCTACTAGCTGAACAGATCCCAGAGAGATATGCCTGGCAAGGAGCAATGGGTACGAAACATGATCCTCATGAAACTATTCTAAACACAAACCTATATTAAAAGACTCCACTAGCGATGGACATGCGTGACAGCCGGCACATTCTCCTTGCCCCCAACACAGCTCCCAGTGGAATTGCCGATGTGGATCAGCGAAGTTACGGGCAGATATCGTCTCATTTAACGACTAGTGCGAACGGTTAATTTGAGGGTGTTTTTTTTCCACCATCGACTATGTTGTGATGGCCGACATGGAAGGTTGACGAAGAGGAGCGCCAAAGACGACATTCAAAAAAGAGAGGCTAGCTATGCAACACTTCGATTGCTTATTTATCTCTTCGGTTTGAATTTATGGATAATTAAGTCTCCGATTTTGTACTTCGGCTAGGAGGCATGATCCCTGGGACCAGCCCTTCTGCGCGTCGACAAAACGTAGTCAGTCCGAGTATTATGCCTTTTCTTCTTCAGGAAAGTCTCAGGAAGCTGCATAAAGTGCTTGAGAGTTCAAAGTAAAAACAAAAACTTCCAAAACATTATAAGATATTTTGCTGGGTAGTGAACATCCTCAACAAAGATGCAGATTAGGCGAAGCAAGTAGAAACGCGCAGTTTGAAAGTAGGCACCAGAAAAGAGGCAAAAATTGGCCAGGCAGCTTTCTTTCTTGACTAAATACTTACATGCTCCGATTTTTTGGTGAATTAATGCCAATTTAATTATTCTTATTCATCTGGTCTCCGAGAATCTTTATTTTGGGAAGATAACAAAGCACTGTTCCATTTCAGCACGGCTTCATTGTAGACTAGTCGACTGAACGAGGGCCTGTGCGATACGACTCGATCCTCTGACAGGAGCCAGTTGCGTGCGACGCTTAACTGGAAGGAATAAAGCACGTTCGCTGTCAGTGTTACAAATACGTGACACATTTCCCTTACCAAGTTACGTTAACTAATTGGACCAAGGCGTGTGTTACAAAGCCACATTGACTGGGCTAAGAAACAATGAAATAAATGTGGAAAGTTACCGGTCTGTAAAGCGATTAAATTTTAGCTTTTAAGCATCTGACATTGGTGTCTTTCACAAATCCTTTCTTTAGATAAAATAAGTCAGAATGCCTCGGCGGAATGTGCACTGTCGAAGTAGATAAGGATTTGAGGGCAACTGGCACGGCCTGGAGGCCATTTGGCTGAGTGGAAGTACAATCGTGGAGCCCTAAACGCCCGCGAAACCAAAACGAAGAGGTAAATAAACAACCAGGGTATTACATGGCCCTCCCTCTTTTTGATTCTCATCCCCACCGCTCCCCTTGGTAAAGCTCCGCGTGGGTCATCACTACAAGCCAATCATGTCACGGATCCCCCTTGGCGATTCCACTGAATCTGGAGTTACGTCCTGTTTTGGAAGTGTATTGGGGGAGGGAGGTGGGCTACCGTGCACGTTCATTGCTGGTCGTAAGGCCACTGACCCTAAAGCCAGGTCATTTACTAAAAGAAATGGGGTTTAAAGCAGTTTCGTGGAATTGAGGCTTCACGTCTGGCCCTTCTTGAAACTGCGTTCTCACCTCAGTGCTGCGTAGCCATATACCCGTCTACCTGGGTTACATCCGGCTAGAAGAGAAGTGGAGGAGGTATCTCGCCTTCAATTACTTGACATCTTCACGCAAGTACCGTAAACATCTCCGTGAGGAATTTTCCCAGATTATTTACGGCCAATGTAACTTCACCCGTTAATGGCATTCCAACAGAACACGAGACTGCGGTAGTTGCTAGGGCATACGCCATTGATTAACCCTTTCATCAGATGTCGTTGTAGATTCTCTTCCGCCACATTAAAGTTTAGCATTCAGGATTGGAAATTAGGAAGGTTGCTCTCTGGGCTCGGGTTCGGTTTCCGCTGCCACCAATGTAGCGTTCCGAGTCTTCCCTGCTAACCACAGGAGGCATAATACTAGAGCTGAATATGTAACGCCGACGTACAGAAGGACTGGGCGAAGGGAACTGCCGACACGACCCGGAGGGCGCGCCGCCTAGCGGAGGTATAAGCGCGGAGCCCTAAGTGCTTTCCAAACCAAAGCTAAGAGTTCAACAAATAGTCAAAGTGTTACACTTAAGTGGTGATGACGTGACTCCTTGATATTCCTTGGGTGTGCAACTTTATAACAACACAGTTGATCACCGATTCTGCTGCATAGCAGGTCACCTTTTATAATTATCTCGCCTTGTCTGAGTGAGTGATTATAACTTGACGTCACAGAGCGGTAAAGGTGGATTTCGTCACCTTACAGAATCCACTTTACAAACAAGGCGAGGTGTGATGATAACTTTTGGGTTTCTCAAATGAGTGTTATTTTAGCCGTCAAATGATATGATGGCATTTATTGTGACATTCTGTAATTGGGTGGATGCCCATTGCTTTTAAACATGGACTTCCGATTGCCCTGAATAAAGGATTGTTAAAAAAAAATTCAACCGCCTTATGGCAATGCATACGCTGAGGATGCAAGTAAACGCGGACACTGTTCCCTTTTGAATTCTCCAACAATTCCCTTTTCGCGTGGTTCATCTCCTATATGCCCTAGAAACGGCTTGAACCTCGCGTCCTTGTTCACGTGGTCCGATTGGCCAACTAAAAGACCAGAGCCCATTAAATGCTACTTATATTACCTTGTAACTTTAACAATCATCAGTCTTAGGCGCACACGCCGTACCCTGAGTAGTCTCACGCGCGTCTACAAGTGTGGACGTCCGTGCTGAAGCCTACGCCTCCTACTTCTTCTAAGGGGACTTCAACAGAATCCAAGCTCATGAATATAAACACCAGAGCATAACAGAAACTGGTGTCCCACAGACTGAAACCTGAAACGTCATCCATTTACAGTTTATTTAGTGCCTCACTCCTGGAATTTCACCAAGAGTGGACGTGGGACGCTGAG